GTATGATTTTTTACGCAATAACACGAGAATAATTACTTAACTAAATAGTAATACTTACTTAACTATTACTTAGTTAGATAAAAATTCCAAAACATTTTACTTTTTTTCCCATCCGAATTTGTATCGAAACAAAAAATAAAATATTCGAAAAAATGATATCAAGTTTTAATATATCCGTTTTGTTTAAACTTTGAATCAGTAGCCATTTATACATTTGACCACGAGGATCGAGTCCCGGTGGTGATAACAAGGTTCATTTTTACTTCCGACTTATACAGAGCATAAATAATAGAATAGGTTGACCAATGTGATAAACAGTATATAGATTAAATTGGCTCTTAAATAATATAGTAGATGGTGACAGGTGTTTTAGTTTCCTAAAATGTAATAAAAATGCGAATAAGTTTCACTAAAATATTTCATCATGAAAAGTTAATGTCCTGATGAATGATTGAAAAGTTTTCTTGCTTTTGATTTTGATTGAAAATTATTAAAGAGTTAACTGTTTAAGTTAAGGATTTAACGGATTTTGTGAAAAGAATTGACTGATTATTAAAATAAAATAAAAAGGACGAACAGAAAAAATTATGAAATAAAATCTAATAAAACAAATAATTTTCCCAATAAGGTTAATTTTTAAATAGTAACGCATTTTTCTTAAATTGTAACTTAAGAAATCAAAATACTTAATTCAATTGTTTCGTTTTTCTTTGCTAAAAATAACATACCATAGCAAAAATAACAATCAATAAAAGAATTTAAACATGGGCAATTTATAATTTTATGTTTATTTTATTTTGCGTTTATTTTAAATTTAACAATGCTTCATTGCAAAAAAAATCAGCATTTTTTTTAACATAGGATTAAAATGTACTCTAAAACTTACGCCTATATGTTACTTAACTCTAACAAATTGGAAAAAAAAATTATTTATTTCTTTTTAAATCAAATAAAATTTGTTTTATCTATAATATTTTGTTAAAATAATCAAAAATTAATCATAATATGTTTAGAAATTTTATTATAAACTTTTATTTCTGTTGTGTTTTACGTTACAAAACCACGTCGCTACTTGCTCAAGATCACTTAGCAATCCTAACTGAATCATTTTAATTCATATGAAAGTTTCAACTGCAGCGTAGCATTTTTCATAACAATTTGTTACATTTTTTATTAGAACATTTGGAAATCCTATGATAAACAAAGAAAAAATCTTAAAGCCCTAAATCTCAAGTAATTTCATAAACACAATGATAAGATTACGCAATTTCGGTATCTCGCATCTTTTTAGTTCTTCATAGTCTCAATAGTTTTTATGATTTATTTATTTGATCCGAAATTTTACGACTCCTTGTTTTATTTACTTTTTACTAATAAAAATGAAATAAAAATAGAATAAAATCAATGAATCAATATTTTCTTGTAGAATTTCTTTAAACAATTTTCCAGTTTACTTCTTGAAGCAAATGAAAATTTATTTATTCATAAGTAATTGAAAAGTATGATTAAAGCATTATTAAGTCATACTTATACTTTTCAAACATTTTCTATCAGCTTTTCAAACTAATTGAAAATTGATTGATTGCTTACATGCAAATTGAGTGCTAACATTAGCATAATATTATTTGATATTAACGTAATGTTACCCTGATTTCAATGCTTAAAGTTACTCACTACTGCTAATAAGTATTTGGTTAATCAGTATTCAAATTAGAGTATAATTTACATAAACTATTATATGACACTAATCGATGTCAAATACGATAATAAACTGCTGTTTGTAGAAAATGCAACACCATGAAAGAATCATCAGAATCAAATGAAATTTAATGCAGAAACGACTTGTACTGATACAAATAAACGATGAAATTTTCAAAACAAAAGAAACAAATTAAGCGTCCGAAATCAGTATTTGGTGCAGCCACCACGCGCTGCAATAAGTGCTGCTATACGACGTGGCATGGAGTCAAACAGATGTTGAATATCTGCTTGAGGAAGAGAATTCCATATCGCTTGTATGCGCAACCAAAGTTCGTCTTTGGAAACTGCAGGACGCGGATCACGAGTGAGACGCCGACCAACCATATCCCACACGTGCTCAATAGGCGACATATCCGGCGAATAAGCAGGCCAAGGAAGAAGTTGCATGCGTTGTGCTGAACAGAAGTCTCTAACAGTCCGCGCAACATGTGGGCGTGCATTATCCTGCTGAAAGATAGCTCCAGGGATGCCTTGAAGGAAAGGAACGACTTCGGGCTGTAGCACTTCACGGACGTATCTGTTGCTATTGAGATTACCCTCAATTCGTATCAAATTGGATCGTCCATGATACGAAATCGCACCCCAGACCATAACTCCGGGTGTTCGACCACTATGTCGTTCAATAATACACTCAGGAAGGCAGCGTTGACCGGCATAACGTCTAACACGAACACGGCCATCATGGGTCCACAAATTGAAGCGTGATTCATCTGAAAAGACAACTTGGTGCCAATCAGCTCGCCAGTCTCTGTGCTCAAGAGCCCACTGCCGACGCAGCCGTCGATGATCCGCCGTGAGGGGAATCCTGTATAATGGCACCCTTGCACGCAATCCACGGCGCAGCAGACGACGACGAATTGACGAAGCCGACAATTGTACACCTGTAGCAGTAGACCAATGTGCTGCCAGCTGCCTGGAGGAAGCTGTGCGATCATTCACCGCCATGCGGAGCAGGTGTCGATCATCGCGCTCTGACGTCACCTTCTGTCGTCCAGTGCCTGTTTTTCGAGTTGTTCGGTGCTCGTCGGTCCACTGCTTCCAAACTCGCATCACTGTGGAACTGTTCCGCTGCATACGAGCTGCTATTGCGCGATAGGAAAATCCTCCTTCTCGAAGGCCGATTATCCTCCCTCGTTCAAACTCCGTAAGTTGCTTGAATTTCTTATTCTTCCGTCGTGGAGGCATACTCAGGTCTCACTAAACGTTTGCCACTAACAAATAATCATAGACTATTTTCAACGTCCCGCTACAGCACTTTATTTATACGCTTTCAGCATCAATTCAGAGGGCGCTGCGCGCGCCACGCACGCGCGATGGCTCGGAAACTTTATTAATTTGCATAATATCCTATAATTGACATTTGCTGCGAATTTCATTTGATTCTGATGATTCCTTCATGGTGTTGCATTTTCTACAAACAGCAGTTTATCAAATACCAAAACGTTTTATTTCCTTCTTGAATCTTTTCAAATAATATAATATCCCTCTATAAAAACAAAGTGCAGGCTTGTTATTGTCACAAAATAGTAGTTTCCATTGGATACTGTTAGAAGTACAGTACTGTACTGTAAGGAATTCCGGATAAAATTACGGTAACGAACTTTTTACCGTAATTTGGTCCATACCGTAAATCTAATTTTTACTGGAACATGTTGTACCGGAAGATTAATAATCTGATGTACTGTAATTTTTACAGTAATAATTACCATAAAGTCACCGAATCACACTAATTAAATATATATCACAGTAAAAATTATGTATAATATTTCATAGTAAAAATAAATTTAAAATTAAAATGGATTTTACGGATTGCGGACACACCGTAATTTTTTACAGAGTGCTAGATTTGAGTACCACGTAAGAATATTATTTCGTGTTATTTAATGGAAAAAAACGACCAACGACTTAACGTAAATTTATTTTTAAATTTTTTGATACTTTATTTTATTAAATATGAATAATTCGTTAATAAATAACTGCTTTAACTCTATTACTAATTAAAACTTTCTGTTTAAATGTATTAATTAGTTTAATTTAGACAAATCGCAAAAAATTTTAAAACCTTCTGAGAAAACAAATAAAAGTGTAAAGGTCAGAAGGAAAATAAAGTGATCATTTCAAGTAATAATGAAATTAAATTAGTTTTTGAGACTTTAACTGTTATCAACTAATTTAGCTTACAAAGGTATATTAATGTCAATATTTAACGAACAAAAAATAGCCCTCTTTATTCATTCAAACTATTGTTTTGTATATAGCATCTAATTTTCCTACATTCTTTACATTAATGATATGCAACAACTACGATTACAAGAACTATGAAAGTCCTGGAAACAAAAAAATGTTAATTTTTCTGCATCAACCTTAGAAAAGTTATAGATATGGTTTATATATTTCTGAAATGTTTCTGATATGGCTCAGATAACATCTCAAAAATATTTTATAAAAAAAATAGCATCATTGAAACATTTAATCGTTAACTGAAAATGCTAATTTTTTTTCATGCAGCAGTAATAATTTACCAATTTATTTGTTGCATCATTATAGCTTACCCTGAAGAAATTTTTAAACGCTTTTCAGTTTCACCTGAAAAAATAAATCACTAACTAATTTTAATTTTACCCTTTTTCTGAAATGGGCTTCTAGAATGATTTGTCCGTTCATATAATCACTCAAATCTTAACTTAAAACCTATTTTTGGGCCGGGATAGCTTGGGATGGACCTATGTCCAAGAGGTCATGAGTTCAATCTCACCGGCGAAGATTCCCTGTGTAGTAAATGGTGACTGGTGAACGTTAAATCTGTCGAGTCACAAAGTCTTCTATGCTCGCATAACAAATAACACCTCTGGGAGTACTACATTGTAGATTGATCGTTCTTAGTTTCAGGTCAAAATAATGATTTGTGGAAGAATGAATAGATGTATGAATGGGTCCGCCCTATAAACGGACTACGACGTGTGTATCTGAAGTCGTATTCTTGGTCGTAAATGGCACCGAAAAACAAGAAACGCACCCTCTGCGCTAAATTCGCTTGACCAATCAGGCTTGCGGCAGGCAAGTGACATTAGAAACAACAACAACTAAACCTATTTGTAGATTCCAATGACTGTATGGTTGAGTAATGACTGTATGATTGAGCGGATTACAAAAAACCCGTAATATCAGTGATAAAAAATTGAAATGCTTTGTTCTAAATTAATGATCATCAGTTTAAATTAAAATTTCCTCTTTTTCAGGGCTTCTCTCATGGGACGTTAAACACACCAGATGTGATTTAGAAGGAATTGACGTTGTTTGCTCGCAGATTCAGTCCTCAAAAGAACCAGAAAGTGGTAAGTATCATGCGATAAAAAAATGTGCAGAATGTAAAAATCTCAGAAATGAGGTTTAGTTAAAAACATTCGAAAAGAGAACAAAATCATGCTCTTAAATAACAGAAAGAAAATTGACAATATTTATAAATAAACTTTTTCTGTCTAAAAACTTTTTTTTGTTTTATTCCTCAAATGAAACAAAAAGGTTTTCAGAAAAAAATTACAATTTTTGTAAAACTTTGAACCAAAGGCAAAAGACATTTAATGAAATATTATAAGAACACAAATAAAGGAATTTTAAAATTAAGACAAACTGTCAAAAATCTTCCAAAATTATGAGAGGCGAAAGATAGTATTACAATTACATTTACTGAACTATTTAAAGAATACAAATAAAGCAATTTTAAAATTACGGTAAACTGTCAAAGAACTATCAAAATTATGTGATGCAAAAGATACTATTGCAATTCTATTTACTGAAATCTTTGCTTAAAACAAATAAAGGAATTAATTCATAAACCAACACTTAACACATTGCAAAAAAAAAGAAGAAAAAAAGCTTCTTTTGAGTTGAATAAAAAAAAAGAACATGATATGAGTGATCACTGATAGATTTGCACATTTGTGTTAACTGCACATTATGCACATTTATCGGAACTGCACATTTATGCTAATTATTTTTTAAAAAGTTAAGCATAGTTTATAGAGAAATTCTGTTCATTCGTCTAATTATGGTATATTTACCGAACTAAGAATCTGTTTTAATGTTTCGAAAAATGAAATTAAAACATTTTAATTAATTGTTGTGAACAATTATTTTATAGTTATAAAATTAGGTGCAAAAAAACTTTCATTAATTACTGAAAAAATGCATTCATACGGAACAAAAAAATACATACATACATTCACAGAAAAAAATACAGCAACGGGAAAAATTACGGTATAATATTTTAGGATAAAAATGGACTTGACAGTAAGACAGTAAAATAGATTTGTACCTAAAGTGCCGATACTATATACCGTAATTTGATCTGAAATTTTATTCAGTAAAGGATCAGTTCAGTAAACTGTATTTCATGTCTAAGCGAATCACAAAAATTTCCACGTAATTTACGTGATATATAAGGATGTTATAATTATATAGTAGCATTTGAGATCAGATTAATATATTTTTGAATGTAACTCCCTTTCACGAGTGTAGCTTGTATTTGAATCGAAATATTTTCAAAAACATTCTGAAGAGAATTTTTAAGGAGGGATAAGATTCAGATAAAAGCAAAATATCGGCGATTTTTGAGACAATATAACTGGTTTGCTTCAGACAGAGGCCTGAATTCTGTGTATTTCCTAATTAGCTGAATAAGAATATTATTGACGATTTTACAAATATATCTAAAATTTGAATTTTAAAGCGGTTTCAAAGGTAAAGAAAAATATCAACGGTCTGAGAACCATTCTTGAGAATCCAAAGACACGACATCACAATTTTTAAATCGTCCGCAGAGGGGACATCTCCCCCGTTTTGTTATTATGATACTTTTAAATGGAACAGTTTAACGAGGACAGATATCGTCCTCCTCCCCTTTTCCCTTCATAGACTGCGCAAAGCGGTCACCTATCCACTCACTAACCGGGTGGCAATGTTTGAATTCAGTAATTTACGAGGAACAGTTTTTTATTATCAGTCCACTATTGGATCATAATTGTCTAAACATTTAGAACAACTTATCTATGCAGAAATTGACAATTTAAAGTAAATTGTATTATTTTAAAAATATTTGCCTTCCAAATATTACTGAATTTCGTCCTTTATTAGATCAATTAGATTGACTTATTATGCTTCAGGAAGTGGAAAATATATCTAAAGTTTAAATTTTTTTTCAAGTGGCTTCAAAAGCAAAGAAAGTATCAACTGCGTCAAAAGATTATAATGACACGCTGTTTTGACTGCTTAATTTAAAATACCATACATAGAACTTAAGTAGTAGTACTTTATTTATGTCGCAATGGAAATTCGGACTTTGGCGATGGTCTGAAACACATCCTTGAGAATCCAAGGTAGGCCATCGCAATTTTGATCCTCTGCAGTTCGACGACTTGCACTCGAAGTAGAGTACTACAGTTAAACAGTTTAAAGAGGACCGATACTGCGCACCCTCAGTACCTTTACAGACCAACCAAAGAGATAACTTGACCACTCACTGTTTGCTGCCAGTGATGCTTGACTTCAGTAAGTTACTGGGAATTGTTTCTTACTGTCAGTCTACTATTAAACCATGATTGTTTAAAAATTTAAAACATAGCTGCGCAGAAAGTAATTGCTTTTACTTATTAAACTTGAACAATTTAAAATTTTAAAATAAATTATTTTGTTTAAAAAATTGTTTCCTTTCTCTATATTACTGAATTTGACACTTTTCTACACCAACAATACAAGCTTATTATTATGCCGTGTCATAATAATTTCTGTAATATGAATAATTGCTTAAGAATTTAGATTTGGAAGAAAACTTTTGTTTTAACTTTGAGTAATAGCGTGTTATATGCAATATCTATGTTTGAAAAGAATTACATCACACATTGCAATTTACTATTTAACCCAACTTAGAACAGGAAAATGGGGTACTCAGTCAAAAATTCCAGATCAAAATTATAGTATAAAATGCAGCACTTTAATTCAAGAAACTAGTCATTTTGTTTTAAAAACTCTTTAAAACTTTTTTAAAGCACATACTTATAAAAATCACGAAAAAGAATTTCTTTAATTGCTTTTTAATAATATTACAAAAATATTGTACTCAATTCAAAAGAAACTTAAAAAATTTTTTGAAAAACTCATCTATTGTTTGTATTGTTATCAAAGTTTTCTAGATGAAAAAAGAATAAAACGTTTCAATGAAAAATGATTTTTAATAAATACTAGAACTTTAGAAACTATAAAATAACTCCAAGTAAGACATTAAAGTTTCTGTTCCCTTAAAGTTCTTGAAGCAAAACTTCTTTGGATAAAAAAGAAGAAAAAAGATCATGATATATTTCTACTTTCAAAACTGTATATAGTCTTCAGCACGATATATTGTGTGTTGAATTCTCAGTAGTCTTTTTTTCTTCTTCTTCGGTGTGTTTGTCTTGTTTTTCTTAGGTCATAGATTTCAACTCACGCATCACCTAATTTATCTTATCGCTCGAGCATAATGGTTAAAAATACGTTCTGAAATAGTGAAGTATTTTCAACAATTCGAATTCATATGTAACTAGTATTCTCAAACAATATATGCACAGTGCGCAATATAAAAAATGGACCACCCAGAATAACTTTTGATCTAATTTGATCTTCACGTTCTATTACTCAATCTTGAGGATTGAAGGGCAATGGCTCAAGGATTTCACTCATGCTAATTAATTAATGCAGACGATATTTTAAGCTATGAAATAAGACACACAAACGTACTTTTTGGAATAAACATGTCATTTTCGAATTTTTGAACCTCAAAATATAGCCACAATTTGGAAAACTTGGTCCCAATAGTTTCCTCAGGAGAGGGGTCCGAAATCTGCACCCCTTAATGCTAATTTTACTTTTTGCGACTTTCGCCATATCTCGAGAACTATTCAAGAGAATTGAAAAAATTTTGCACAAAATTTTAAAATTTGGTTATATGAATATTAATCCATGCAAAACCTAAACTTCAATAAATATTTATTATTTTTCACTATTTTGTTTATGAAAAGTAGTAAAAGTTTGAATCGTGAGATTTACGATGTCTCACATCATTTTAAAGCATGTAATTTTCAGAAATTTGGACAAACTCCATCATATAGTTTCTGGGAAATCGAATTGTGAAGACACGATTTTTTCAAAATTTTCGATTGCTCAGATTGATTGATTAAAATGTTACAATCAACTGATTTGGCCTATTTTACCGATTTCGCTCAAATTTCGCATTTTGACATGTAAAGTTACATTCTCTGAAATGGTGTAGAAAATGTAAATCTTACACTTCAAAATATTTTCGAATATTAATAAATAAAATAATAAATAAAATAATAAAAAATAATATTAAATGATAAATATTTATTAAAAGCTATTTTTTCATGGAATTTACATTGGCAGGGTGCGTAGCCAAATTATTCAGCAGAGCACTTTTCAAGCACTCAAAAGATATTTTTAAGAACTTTAAAAAAATATCATAATTGGACAGGGTGGGAAAGTTGTTGACAATTGACAGTTTTATCTTGTTTTAACCATCATAACAAAAAAAAACTTTTGGCATTGTTAAAAATCACGAAGTTTTGAATCATATAAAACGAATGGCGTTTTCATACGCTACAGACTGGAAATACGCCGAAATAGATAGGAGTTGAATTAATAATGAAAACGTTGAACAGAACAATGTGAACTGCGTCTTTTTTGCATAATTTTCAGCAAAAATTAACATGGTAAAGGAAAAATCTCATTTTGAAAAGAGGAAAATTAAGCACTTTTTAAAAACACCCAATGAAAAAAAAAGCACATTTAAAGGGCTTTTAAAAGACGAAAATCGAAAATAAGCACTTTTAAGCACTTTTTAAAAACGCTACGCACCCTGATTGGATAAACGAATTTTAAACATGTGAGCAAAAATCCTTCAATTCGCTTAAAAAGTTTTAGAAATATTAATGGATGCGCAAAAAATAAAATTAACATTAAGGGGTCCAAACTTAGGTCCACTCTCCTGATCAAACTATTAGAACCATATTTCCCAGGTTGCGGCTACCTCCTATATTTTGGGAATCCGAAATCCGAACCAGTTGAAAAAAGGTATATTTATTCAGAGAAAGTACATTTTGTGTCTTATTTCAAAACTTAAAATATCGTCTGCACTAGATAATTAGCATATTTGAGGTCACCCCTTTAAACCATTTTGATTGTGTCCTAAAACGTTATAAATATTCGATCATTGGATCAAATGTTATTCCCGATCGTTCGTTTTTTATTTTGAGCACTGTACATAGGCGAAAAGATTTTGCCATTTCAACGCGGATTGAGAACTTAAACGTACCTGATTATTGAAAGAAGTAATACAGACGGTATTCGAGATAATCACTCAATATATAAATACAGCAATGATTAAGCAAGCTTATCATTCGCAAAGAGTAAATTTGAAAAATATTTATTTCGCGCCAAAATAAAGAATAATTTAAAACTGAAATATATATGAATGTGCCAAAAAAACTCTTACATCTTGTTAAATTTCTAAGATTTAAATATACATTTATCTATAAATTGAAAAAAAGTGCTTAAATTGAAATACCCTTTAAAATTTATATATATATATATATATATATATATATATGTTATAAGTCTTTAAACTTTGCCACCTAGACTAGTGTTCGGTTTTTTGCTCAAAAGTTCTTGCCATCAGAAAGACTTTGAATTACGCCATCCGTTCTGAAATAACTGAGGCCTATATTCTGACAGGCGGCAAAAGTTCAACTCAATGCTTACAAAACTGGCCGAAAATTCTAAAAAAAGGTCGGACAAAAAATATTTTTCAAAATTTTCATACTCTCACATAAAAGCTAAGTTTGCCTCCAATGGATCCCTCCCCACGTTAAGATCCTCAGCAATGAGAAGGTGGACTTGCTTGCGGAAAAGGGAAGTGTTCTTCCTTCTATGACTTCTCTTAGGCTCTTGGCATCCGAATTTTTTTTTCCTCATCCACGGGGCTAAAGCAAATACTGCGTGCAGAGTCCCTCCCGCACACGGTTTTATTTTATTTTATAACCGTCGTTGAAAAGCCGACCTAAATTTGAGTTTACGACTACCAATGTTCAATTCCGTAGCCTTGTAATGCTTACACACGATTGGTAAGTTAGAAATCGTCCGGGTTTGTCCCTAAAATTCGAAGGCACAAGGTCTGCACAAACTACATCGGTCAGGTTACGAAACGGTCACTCAAATGTTTAAAATTTGTCAACAGGGAAAAGGCCTATTCACATTGCCCTTGTTCCTGTCCTGCTTCTCCTGCTCATATTCTTAATTATATTACCTCCTCTGTGAGGCTGCTGTAGAGTAGGGAGGAGAATGGACTAGTAGAGCTGTTAGAACGACATGGTCTCATGGACATGATCTGGACCAGGGGGACATAAAACAAGTCTTTAAACTTAATGAAACTCACTTAATGGAAGAAGTCTTTAAACTTAATGTTCACAGAGAGTACGATTTAGTTTATATAAACAAGAAAAACTTATGCATTTGTCTAGCATGTATACAACTCTTAAAAAAATGTATACAAGTTGAAAAGATTCCGTAGTGTTGTAATGCTATGGTTAATATGTATACATATTAACCTATCCCACATAGAACACTTCCGAGAGTTACCCATAAATGAAGATCTTATCAGTAAGAACTGAACATATCTCTTTAAGATTATATTAAAATATTTTCAATGAGTAGTAGAATCTAACAAAAAAGTATCTATGAGTAGAGAAATCTAACAAAAAATGTACGAGACATTGCATTTTAATTAATTTGCATTATTGTATGTATAATTCTCATTCAAAAATATGAAGTACAATTTAGTGTTTCGAAATAGGACATTAAAAATATTTACTTCAATAAATACACAACAATAAACTAATAAAATTTCCCCTGTGGTTACTTTTTCCTTTTCCGGATGAAAGAATAAAATAATCAAAATGTCGATGAAAATGATGGGAATATGACATGAGGTGCAAAAGTCGCTTGCCCAAAGGCAGAAGTATAAATGACTTTTAAAAACTTGATATGAAACTTTTCAGAATGAATTTTTGAAAGTAATATCGAATTTTAACTTTTGATACCTTTAAGGCTTGTATTTTGCGATAAAGTTATTTAAAAAATATAACTATAAATCTAGGAAGTAAACTATAATTATTTTAAAACACTTAAATACCATAATCAATTTATTTAAAGATTGTAAAGGCATTAAAGCACCCAACTTAGGACGTGCCAAAAATCTGAATTAAACATTGAATTTTTAATAAGAGAAGGAAAATAAATAATTAATAAGAAATCATTTATGCTATCCAAGACGTCATGACATCGTACACAATTTTCTGGCATTTCATGGTTAAAGCATAAATATAAAATATAAAAAGTTCAAGGACATGCCAAAAATCTGAATTTAACATTGAATTTTCAATAAGATAAAGAAAATAAATAATTATTAATAAGTAATAATTTATGCTATTCAAGACGTCATGACATCGTACACGATTTTCTGCCATTCATGGTTAAAGCATAAATATAAAAGGTAAAAAATTCATTAAGTGTTTTTGTTATTTTCGATAATTTGAATTGACGAATATTAATTGATATCTACCAATTAATATTTAAAGTTTTTACAAATTAATCATTTTTTAAATTAATTAACAAACAATAAAAAATCTAATTATTTATATAATTATTTGGGGACCCATTCCTTGGATTAATAAGTTCATGTTTTTTCATTGAAGGAGAGCAAATAATAAATAAAAACTTGATATGAAACTTTTCAGAATGAATTTTTGAAAGTAATATCGAATTCTAACTTCCGATACCTTTAAGGCTTGTATTTTGCGATAAAGTTATTTAAAAAATATAACTATAAATCTAGGAATCTATAATTATTTTAAAACACTTAAATACCATAATCAATTTATTTAAAGATTGTACAATAATTTCATATGATTTTCCATTTTAGTCAGTGTACTATTCAATTGATTTTTCCATACCATTATTACTTGGATTTTGATACAATCATTCTTTGTTAATATTTTTAGAATAAACAAATAATGAAATATTAGAATAGTTAAACTATTTTTTAATTTTAGAGTTGCAAATAGATATTTTTTAATATCTCAAAATCAACACACCTATAAGCTGAATAAGTTATTAAAACTTAATAATTTAAATAACAAAACATTAATCGGTAAAATCAAAATTCCATACTTTCAAATTACTGTACAAACTTTTTTCATTCGTCTTTTTGGAGTCTTTAATTAAGAAGTAAATACATGTCGCATGTATGTTCTTAAATAAAATTCCCTCTGCGATTTTTTCTTTCGGAAATATCTTGTTTTATTACATCAAAATATTACTAGCAATACGCATAACAAATAATAACTTTACTACTTGTAAACTTGCCATATCGCTACAAATAATCAAATCAATTATTGTAATGTATTTCAACGCAAGTTTCCCATAGTCATAGTACAACAAGGAAAATTCCATAGTCATTATTTCTTAAAGAACTATAATAAAATTGAAATCAATTTAAAATATTCCGAAAATTTATTTATAGATTCGTAAGTTTAATCTTTATATATGCAATGTGTACGAGGAGAGTTAGTCTGTACACACAAAGGAAATATTAATTTTTCTAAAATTAATTTCTATCTTAACCCCTTCCTTCTCGCTCCCGTGAAAATGACGGGGTAAAGTTTCACCCTCTATTTCTCGCTCCCGTGATATTGACGGGCTGGAGTGTTCAGTAATAAAGCGCCAATAAAAATAAAAATAATTCATTTATTTCTCATTTTACACACCAGATTGCAGTATATTTTAAGGTAATTGTAGATAGTTAGTTTATTTTAAACTAGATGTCAGCACTAATCAAATACGTAATACAAATACAAAAGCCAATAAAATAGACACTTTTATGACCATTTTCATGAAAATTAACCGATCGTTAAGGGGTTTAAGAAATGGATGCATGTTGAAAAGATAAAGCATGAACGCATATTAACCCATCTGACACAGAAAATTTTTTCGAATTGACCATGACTGAAAACCGTTTCAAACATACATTTTTTAAAAGTTAATTAAGTTTAACAGTTTATTTAAAAGTTATCAATAACTAAAAGTAAAGCTATATCGATAAGAGTAAAACATATTATGTGTGTATTTAAACATTTTAAGGCAATTTTATAACTTAGTTGCGAAAGAATTTGTTATTTATGAATTTTTTTATTTGTAAGTTTTTAAAAAGAAACTTTTTATAAAAATGTAAAACAGCTAATTTGGACTCACAGTTTGCTCGAAAATGACGCAGACTAATTCGTTTTTATGGGGTTCATGAATATTATTGAGATATTTTAGGATATAACTAATTTTTGTTTGTGATCCAAAATAGCTTCGCTATTAATTTTCTTGGTGGAAATGATTGTGGGCACGCCAAACCCAATAAACCCAATTACTTAACAAAATTGTTCATTTCTTTTCAAGCTATTAAAAAAAAAGAAGAAAAAAAACATCGCTAGCCCTTAATTTTTAAAAAAATGCATGCGTCTAACTTTTTGAAAATACAAATAAGTTAAAAAATGTGTATAAAAAAAATAAAGAAAATAACAGTTTTGCTTGATTTAAATTTAGATGGGAAAAAAACGCCTCGTTTTGAAACTTTAGTGTTAACAAAAGCTATGTTATAAGTCATAAAGAGACAGAAGATGCATGAGCAATTACTTAATGCTAAAGAAATATCAAATTAAAAAGAAACGAAGACTGAAATCAATAAAAGCTGTAGGGAAAAAAATTATTTGTTTTAAAAATTTCACTTACTTTGCTTGTAAATATTACACACAAGCTTTTTTATATGTGTCTTAAATTGAGAAAAAAATACTGTTCAGAAATGCTTTTTATATTTGTTTTCATTCATTTCATTTGTATTCCTTATAATTCTAGAACATTTTTTTATCATTTTTTTCAGAATTGCTGATTCAGCATTCAACTGAGAATCTTGCCGTAGAAGTTTTACTAAACCCTCACGTCAGCACATTGAAGCAATGCCTGAAAAATTTGCTGGCAGCCAACGTAGGCCACAAACATGTGATTCATGCCGGATATGCTTTCACAGGATCCGGATCCTGGATTTTACAGGATGGAAATTTTTCTTATCAAAACTTAATGGACACTTTACAAGATGTAGACGTTCAAAAAGCGTTACGGCTACATCCAGGATGTACTATTCACATACATTGCATCCCAGAAGGACCTTGGGCTCAACCGGAAGAAAGAACTTCATCCGACATTCCAGAATCTCTTTATATTAATCCTGCCAAAAATGTGTCTGTTGTTCCTGGTTCAACCCATCTTATACAATGTTTAGATTCTGTGTTAAGGTTCCAACCCCTGACGGAGATGATGAAATCATCCCCCGTAGTAGGAAATATTAGATTTAATAGGCCAACCTTGTATGTATTCCCTGGAGGACAAGGAGATTGTGCTCTCTTTGGAGTAAGTGGATTCACCATGCTTATCGATGGTGGATTCAATCGAAAACCTTGTTTCTGGGAATTCATTCGCCACCTCGATAGGCTGGATGCCATTATGATAACGCGCCTTAACGAGAACAATGTGTGTGGAATTACGAACGTCATTCGTCGAAAAAGAGAAGGCAAACGAGTTTATCCTCAAGTAGGTTACGTTTTTTGTAATGTTGCTGAAGGAAAGAGTCCGACAAGTCCAGGCTCTTCTGGGCAAGACAGAGATCCTTTACTAGTAAGTGTTATAAAAGAAGGACGTGAATTTAGTGAAAATCTTCATCAATTGGGATTAAAGCCTCATAGATGTCTTCGGGATAGTTTAGCTGAACCCCTAACGCTTTTCCATAAAGTTGGACATGGGACTCTAGAAATGCATGTTCTAAGTCCACCAAAAGATAGCAAAGAAATGAAATTATTTTTCCAACAATGGACTTCCTATAAAGAACATTTTACCTCAAAAAAGTATACTGACGATGGAGAAATGCCTATTCCTTTATCACATGCCATGTCAATATGTGCTTTATTGATATGGAAACCATCTGATCCCTCAGATACAATTACAAGAGTTCTTTTACCTGGAAGTGCGCCACAAAGTAAAATTTTTGAGGGTTTAGAACACTTAAGTCACTTAGAAGAACTTAAATATAAAACTTGTAGTCAAATGTCATTAGGAATTAAATATGAAGAAAGGGTCAAAATTAAAACTACAAAGAAACATGTTGTTAAATCTTCCATCAAGCATAAAGCAGATTTTGTAAGACCTGCATCACCGACGAAACTAATTAGGGACAGTGATGAAATTAAAATTGTAAGAAGGAGAGCGGAATCACCAGTGAAGTCCATGACAGGATCTCCTGTTCGAAAAGTTAAGAAGATAACAAAAAAAGTTGAAGAGAAAAAATTCGTTGGGGTGAAAGATGAAATTGTTTCGAAAAAGATTGCATCAAAAGAAGTAAAAGCAACCAAAAAAATTAAGAAAAGTAATAAAGCTAAATTGCAAAAATTAAAAGATACTGCTGATAAACGGAGTTCAGAAATTCCTGATGTAGAAACTATAGAAACAGCAGGAGATACTATACAACAGACTGAAGGTGAAGATATGGAATCCTTGCTTGCCACAGAAGACGAAATGCTGAAAATTGAAAAAGATTTTGATACTCAAGCAGAAGAAAAAATACTACTAGAAGCTGTAGATCGCGAAAAATCTCCTTCTAAAATTGACGAAGCAGATATTAACTTAGATGATTCGCAAAAAGAGCACGATGAAAAGGAAGAAAAAGCAAAGAGTGAAGAAAAATCAAAGGAAAAAGAGACAGAGGAAGACATTACGGAAACTGAACAGGAAGAAAAATTGAAAGAAAAAGAGATTGCTGAAGATAGTAAAGAAACAGAAAAAGAAGAAGACAGAGAGATTGTTGATGATACTAAAGAAGTAGAACAAGAAGAAAAAGAAATAAAAGAAGAGAAAGTAGAAGACGGAAAAGAAATAAAAAGTAAAGTTGAAAAGGAAACTAAAGAAGAAATTGAGGGAAAAGAAAGTGAAGATAAAAGTGGAGGCATTACCTTAATATTGAAAAAACCAACCGAAAGTGAATTAGAAACAAAATCTATATCCGACACTACAGAAGATGACAAAAAATCAACAGGTGGTGAAATGGACCAAATAATACCTTCTCCTTCCACAGAAGACAAATCACCGGAATTAGTTGAAACTGTTAAAAAAGTTTCACCTTCAGGTGAAAAGAAATTAGAATCTAAAACAACCGCGGAAAAAACACCGAGAAAAGTTAAAAAATCGAGTAAAATTTCAGCTCTTAAGTCAACAGTGTCTGCACCAAGTAAACTTCGAAAAGAACCTGAAATTCGAAAAACAGCTCCTAAAAAAGACAAACCTTTAGAAAAAGAAATTAAAAAATCAGGAGTTAAAAGTGTTAAAGCAATACCAAAAACTGTTAAAAAAGAAATCGTTAGTGAAAGTCCACTAAAAAAAGCTGAGGTTTCAAGAACAGCTGTGAAACCTAAAGAGTTGAAAACTATTCCCGCAATAAAAGAAGTTAAGGCTCCTGTGACTCTTAAAATATCTAAAAAAGCTGAACCAAAATTAATAAAATCAACTAGTGCAGCAGATGTAAAAACCAAAGTGTCTAAGGACGTGTCGATTAAGCGAATAACTGAAAGCAAACTCACCGCTAAACCCTCACTGTCAGTAAAAGAGAAAGATTCAACCACCTTACCAAAAAGTCCAGTTAAGAAACCCAAAGAAAAAATTCCTATATTGTCTCCGAAGAAAAAAGCCAAGCCACTCACAAGCACGCCAGCACGACCATCTAAACCTTCCAAGGACAAAACAAAGCCTAAGCCAGTGAAGCGACCCGGAAAAATGAAAGACATTACTCCGTCCGCAGAAGAAAAACTTTCACCCGAAATCAAGGGACCAATTGCACCGGAAGAATCGATTCCGTCCCAAGCTCCAGCAAAGGAAGTTGTTGATGAAGAGATGGCTCTAGAAGCTCCATCCAGTCCAAAAGAAACAGAAACTCAAGAATTACCGGAGGAATTAGCTGCTGAAATTCCGTCCTCACCAGTTGATGTTGATAAAGTCTCACTTGCAGAGTCAGAAGATAAGAGATCAGAAATAGGAGATGAAGGTATTGTTGAAACGCCCCATGAAGCAAAAGAGCCTGAAATTTTCGATGAACAAATGGTAGTAAAGGAAATTGAAGCTGTTGAAGCTGCTGTCGATGAGCTCATTGAAGGTATGCGAACTGAAATAGGTGAACCGAAACTTAAAAGCAAAATTGATCAAGAAGATGCAAAGGTTGAAAGTCCAGTTGAAGAGCTAGCAGTTTTAACGGAAGATAAAATTAAAACTCCAGCTGATATCGGAAGCGCGGAAGAAGAAATATCTGCTGAAGAAATTTCCGAGGGAATTGAAGAAGAAAAGTCAGCATTAGTTGAAGTTTCTAAGAAAGATATTTCATGGGAAAGTCTACAAGAATCAGTTAAAGCTTTAATTAATGTTGAAATAACCTATATCAAGGAAAATATTAAAAACAAGGGAATAAAACTAGACAATTACGAAACAGTCATATTCAGATACATATCAATGGATTTTGAAAAGCTATGCTTGACACCTACTGTTGAATCTATAAGTAAATATGTAACATCAAATAAAGAAAATATTGTAAGAGTAATTTCTGAACAGTATGAAGCGGATACAGCAGACAAATCGGGTCTTGCAGATGAACCAGGTGAAAAACTTGAAGAGAAAATTTCCACAGAAGCAGATGAAATGACAGAGGAAGAAATTTCTATGAAAGCTAAAGCGATTGACGATATTTCGAAAAAAACGAGTGAAGTTAAAAAAGACACAATTGTTACTGAGCATAAAGAAATTGAAGGAATAGATATTTCCGAAAAAGCTGAAAGTGAAGTTCCTTCAGATGCAGAGAAACATGAAGCAATTTCAACAGAATCTGATAAAGAAATTCCCAGTGTTGATGCAAAAGACGAAAAAGAAATTCCTACAGAAACTGAAAAAGCTGTCGAAACAATTTGCAAGGAAGATAAGGAATTTGAGGAAGAAACTCCCGTGGAAGCTGAGGAAACTGAAAAAGAAATTCCTACAAAAGTAGAACATGAGAAAGAAATTTCCACAGATGAGGAGAAAATTATAAAAGAAATTTCCACAGAAACTAAGAAAATTGAGGAGAAAATTACCACGAAAATTGAAGGAGATGAAGAAGAAATTCTTACCAAAGAAAAAATTCCCACAGAAGCAGCAAAATCTGAAGAAAAACTTATTATGGAAGCTGAGAAATTAGAAGATGAAACTTCCACGGAAGCTAGGAAAACTGAAGAAGAAACTCCCAGGGAGCCTGAGACAATTGAAAAAGAAATCCTCACTAAAACTGAAGTTAAAGAAGAAATAATACAAAAAGAAGAGGTTTCCACAAAAACTGATAAAATTAAAGAAGAAATTTCAAAAATAACCGAGAAAGACGACGAAAAGATTCCTACGGAAACCGAAGAAGAAAAAATTTTGACAACTATTGAAAAAGAAGAAGTTTCTACGGATACCGAGGAACTGAAAAAGGAAGCACGTGTGGAAGCTGAAAAAGTTGAAAAACAAATTCCCGCGGAAGCTGAGGAGGTTGAAGAAGCAGAAGATTCTATAGATGATGGTGAGGAAGAGGTCTCTATAGAATCTGAGAAACTAGAAAAAGAAGAAATGTCAGTGAAAACTAAAGAAGCAAAAATTCCTGTAGAAGATGGTAAAGAAGACATTTCTACAGAACCTAAAAAAATTGAAAAACAAATTTCCGCTGAAGAAATTAAAGAAGAAATTCCTGTGATATCTGAAAAAGTTGGAGAAGAAGAAATATCTATAGAATCCAAAAAAATTGAAGACGTAAAACTTTTCATAAAAGATGAAGTAGAGACAATTTCTTCGGAAGTTAAGAAAGCTGAAAAAGAACGTCTCGAAGAAAAGGAAAAGTTGGAACAAAAAAGACTTTCAATTTCTGAAAAAGAAGAAGAAATTGCTGTGTCTCCAGAACAAGTGAAAGAAATTGCTGCGACCCCAGAAGAAGAAAAAGAAATTATTATGGATTCCACACAACAAGTGGAAACTTCAGCTACTCCTGGCGAAAGTGTTGACATCGTACAAGAAAAAGAAATTTTGAAAACTCCTGAAAAAGCAAAAGAAATTTCGAAGACTCCTGAAGAAGAAACTACTATCGTTTCAGAGCAAGAAAGTGAAATTGCTGTAACCACAGAACAAGAAAAAGAAGTTGTTTTAACTACTGAACAAGAAAAAGAATATATATCAGAAGAAGATTTCAAAAAATTAATTACTCCCGAAATTAAGAAAGAAATATCTTCTATAGCAAGAGAAATTGAAAACCTGTCATTAACTGATCCCCTAGAAATTATTATCAAGTTCGTTTATTTACTTCTTCAAGAAAGAGAAATTATACCGGAGGCTGACTCTCTGAAAAACTACATTATTAAATACAGAACTGAAATTATTACAAAAATACTTAACATCCACGGGAAAGAGCAAGAAGAAGAAGAAACTCCACAATTTAAGAAAGACAGTTTTACTGAATCAATGTTTGAGACCTTGATCACACCAGAAATAAAAAAAGAAGTTTCCACTATATCAAAAGAACTAAAAAACATTACTTTGGATGATCCTGAACAAGTTATTCTTAAGATCATTTACATGGTCTTAAACGATAAAGAAATTATTCCTGAACCAGAGTCTTTAATTAACTACATAATAAAATACAGAACTGAAATCATTACACTAATACAAGATCAATATGCGGCTGGAGAAGAAGATCAAGAGAAAAAAGAGATATCTCCTGAAGATGGCATTGAGGTAACTGAAGATATTAGTCCAACTCAAGAACCCGAGCCCGAAGAAACGATAAGTGAACAGCTTATTCACGAACAACTTACAAAGGAATCACTGAAGATCATTGATGAATTAGTGGAAGAACACAAGTCAGGAAATATGTCTAAAGAAGATTGTAAAAATATACTCTTATCAATACTGAGAGAAGAGCTCGAAAATAAAAAATTGCCAATAAATGAGGATACAATTAAAATGTACATAAATGAATATAGAACAGAGTTTATCAAAGTTTTAAGAAAAGAGTTCATGTCAGCAGCTGATACTAAGGTACTTGAAAAGGAAGAAATTCCTGTCACAGTCACGCTAGAAGAAGTGTCAACTAAAATTATAACAGAAAACTTAACGAGTGAATCTCGAAAAATTTTAAATGAGCTTATAAATGAACTTAAGCCAGAAAACGTATCAAAGACAGAGTTCGAGCAAATAATTTTAGAAACCTTAGAATTTGAATTACAAAACGAAAATTTGCCCTTAAAGAAAGACACAATTCTAACATATCTCACAGAATACAGAGTTAAATTTGTTACAATTTTAAAAGAAAAACAATTAACTATTATAGATGAACAAAAAGGTGCAGGAGCGTCAGAAGAACCAATTTCAGAAGAAATAGACATAACAATAGACAGTATTGAAAATCAATTGACAAGTGAATCATTGAAACTTATTGATGAGCTTATAGGTGAATGCAAAGTAGAAGACATGTCTCATGAATCATGCAAAAGTTTATTATTAGAAATCTTGATACAAGAACTACTGATGAGAAACCTACCCTTAAATAGTGAGGTGATTATTATGTATATAACTCAATATAAAGAAGAATTCGTCACACTTTTGAAAAAGAGATATTTAGAATTCACCACAGAGGAAGAAGAAGAACTAGAAGAACCAGCAAAAAAAGTTGCAGATGAATCGATTGATGAAGATTTAAAAAGCCCGAGAGAGGATACAAATATTCCAGAATCATTGGAATTAGAAGAAATAAGAAAGTTGATAAATCCCCAAACTCAAAAAATAATCGATTCGTTGGAAGAAAAAATTAAGTTAGGAGATACAACAAATGAAGAGTTTTGTGAAATGCTTCTTCAAGCTGTGCAGAAAATACGTATTGAACACAAAATAGAATACAACGAGGAATCATTGAGAAACTGTTTATCAAATTATGAAATAGAAATAATAAATATAATTACACAGCTATATCAGGACCGTGTTTCCCAAATTGAATCTAAAGAACTGCCAGAAACAGAAGTTGCGCAAGTGATATCTTATGAAGAAATAAAACGTTTATCAACACCAGAAATAACCAAATTGATTACTTCTATGAAGAATGAAATTCAAATAAATATTCCAGAGGAAGAATTTCAGAACCTACTTTATGATACTTTAATTGAGCTTATGCAGAAAGAATCTATACTGATAAACTCAATGAATATTCTAAACTGCATTATTCGTTTCAAAATTGAAATAATTAATCTAATTCTTAATCGATATAACGTCAAAGAATCGCTAGAAATCAGTGCAACTGGAGAAGTGCCAATTGACGAAATAGTTGCTTCTTCTCCTGTTGAAGTAATTGACTCTGAAAGTATGGAAGAAAAAATATCGTCATTTGAAATTAAAGCAACGGATATAAAACTTAGAGAAAAAACTCCCAGTCCAGAAAAAGAAGTATTAACAGAAGACGTTACCGAAAAATTAAAAAAAGAGCTACCATCAACAGCAGAAAAAGAAAAAATTACTTCAATTCAAAAAGTTGAAGAAACGATTGAAGAAATAACACCGATTCCTTCTGCATCAAGTGAAACCGAAAAACCTTTACAAGAGGAAACCGCAACAGAAATACGAGAAAAAACCCCAACTACCGTAAGAGAAATTATTCTGATTGATGGTGAGAAAAACGTTGAAGATGATGTTTCTCTAAAAGAGCCTGACACAGAAGCAAAAAAATATGAATCAATTGACGAAGTGCTTTTAACAGACAAGAAATTACAAACAAAAGAGACAATTAAAAAAGAATCACCAACAAAAGAAGATACTGAAAAAACATCACCAACAAAGGAGGAAGTTGAGAAAGAATCACCAATAAAAGAGGATATTAAAAAAGAGTCACTTACAAAAGAGGACATCGAAAAAATATCACCTTCAAAAGTGGAAATTGAAATAGAATTACAAACGACAGAGGAAATGGAAGAAGAATCACAAACAAAAGAAGAAATTGTAAAAGCATCACTCACAAAAGAAGACAGGAAAAAAGAATCACCTACAAAAGAAGACATTGAAAAAGAATTACCAACAATCGAGGACATTAAAAAAGATTTATCATCTAAACAAGACATAGAAAAAGAATCTCCTACGGAAGAAGACATTAAAAAAGAATCTCCGACAAAAGAAGACATAGAAAAAGAATCTCCAACAAAAAAGTACATTGAAAAAGAACTATTTCCAAAAGAAGACGTTGAAAAGGAATCACCAAAAATAGAGGTTGTTGAAAAAGAATCACCAACAATCGAGGACATTAAAAAAGAACTACCATCTAAACAAGACGACGAAAACGAATCACCAACAAAAGAAGAAGCTGAAAAAGAATTACCGACAAAAGAGGATATTAAAAAAGAATCACTGACAAAAGAAGACCTAGAAAAGGTATCTCCAACAAAAGAGGACATTGAAAAAGAATTACCAACAAAAGAGTACATTGAAAAAGAATCTCCAACAAAAGAGGACATTGAAAAAGAATTATCAACAAAAGAGGATGTTGAAAAAGAATCACCGACGAAAGAAGACATAGAAAAGGTATCTCCAACCAAAGAAGACATTGGAAAAGAATTATCAACAAAAGAGTACATTGAAAAAGAATCGCCAACAAAAGAGGTTGCTGAAAAAGAATCACCAACAATCGAGGACATTAAAAAAGAATTACCATCTAAACAAGACGACGAAAAAGAATTACCAACAAAAGAGGAAGCTGAAAAAGAATTACAGACAAAAGAGGATATTAAAAAAGAATCACCGACAAAAGAAGACATAGGAAAGGTATCTCCAACCAAAGAAGACATTGGAAAAGAGTTACCAACACAAAAGTTTATTGAAAAAGAATCATCAACAAAAGAGGTTGTTGAAAAAGAATCACCAACAAAAGAGGTTGTTGAAAAAGAATCACCAACAAAAGAGGTTGTTGAAAAAGAATCACCAACAAAAGAGGTTGTTGAAAAAGAATCACCAACAAAAGAGGTTGTTGAAAAAGAATCACCAACAAAAGAGGTTGTTGAAAAAGAATCACCAACAAAAGAGGTTGTTGAAAAAGAATCACCAACAAAAGAGGTTGTTGAAAAAGAATCACCAACAAAAGAGGTTGTTGAAAAAGAATCACCAACAAAAGAGGTTGTTGAAAAAGAATCACCAACAAAAGAGGTTGTTGAAAAAGAATCACCAACAAAAGAGGTTGTTGAAAAAGAATCACCAACAAAAGAGGTTGTTGAAAAAGAATCACCAACAAAAGAGGTTGTTGAAAAAGAATCACTAACAATCCAGGACATTAAAAAAGAATTACCATCTAAACAAGACGACGAAAAAGAATCCCCAGCAAAAGTGGAAGCTGAAAAAGAATTACAGACAAAAGAGGATATTAAAAAAGAATCACCGACAAAAGAAGACATAGAAAAGGTATCTCCAACAAAAGAGATTGTTGAAAAAGAATCACCAACAAAAGAGGTTGTTAAAAAAGAATCACCAACAATCGAGGACATTAAAAAACAATTATCATCTAAACAAGATGACGAAAAAGAATCACCAACAAAAGAAGAAGCTGAAAAAGAATTACCGACAAAAGAGGATATTAAAAAAGAATCACTGACAAAAGAAGACCTAGAAAAGGTATCTCCAACAAAAGAGGACATTGAAAAAGAATTACCAACAAAAGAGTACATTGAAAAAGAATCTCCAACAAAAGAGGACATTGAAAAAGAATTATCAACAAAAGAGGATGTTGAAAAAGAATCACCGACGAAAGAAGACATAGAAAAGGTATCTCCAACCAAAGAAGACATTGGAAAAGAATTATCAACAAAAGAGTACATTGAAAAAGAATCGCCAACAAAAGAGGTTGCTGAAAAAGAATCACCAACAATCGAGGACATTAAAAAAGAATTACCATCTAAACAAGACGACGAAAAAGAATTACCAACAAAAGAGGAAGCTGAAAAAGAATTACAGACAAAAGAGGATATTAAAAAAGAATCACCGACAAAAGAAGACATAGGAAAGGTATCTCCAACCAAAGAAGACATTGGAAAAGAGTTACCAACACAAAAGTTTATTGAAAAAGAATCATCAACAAAAGAGGTTGTTGAAAAAGAATCACCAACAAAAGAGGTTATTGAAAAAGAATCACCAACAAAAGAAGTTGTTGAAAAAGAATCACCAACAAAAGAGGTTGTTGAAAAAGAATCACCAAGAAAAGAGGATGTTGAAAAAGAATCACTAACAAAAGAGGTTGCTGAAAAAGAATCACCAACAATTGAGGACATTAAAAAAGATTTACCATCTAAACAAGATGACGAAAAAAAATCACCAACAAAAGAAGAAGCTGAAAAAGAATTACCAACAAAAGAGGATATTAAAAAAGAATCACCGACAAAAGAAGACATAGAAAAGGTATCTCCAACCAAAGAAGACATTGGAAAAGAGTTACCAACACAAAAGTACGTTGGAAAAGAATCACCAACAAAAGAGGTTGCTGAAAAAGAATCACCAACAATCGAGGACATTAAAAAAGATTTACCATCTAAACAAGACGACGAAAAGGAATTACAAACAAAAGAGGAAGCTAAAAAAGAATTACAGACAAAAGAGGATATTAAAAAAGAATCATCGACAAAAGAAGACATAGAAAAGGTATCTCCAACCAAAGAAGACATTGGAAAAGAGTTACCAACACAAAAGTACATTGAAAAAGAATCACCAACAAAAGAGGTTGTTGAAAAAGAATCACCAACAAAAGAGGTTGTTGGAAAAAAATCACCAACAATCGAGGACATTAAAAAAGAATTACCATCTAAACAAGATGACGAAAAAGAATCACCAACAAAAGAAGAAGCTGAAAAAGAATTATCGACAAAAGAGGATATTAAAAAAGAATCACCGACAAAAGAAGACATAGAAAAGGTATCCCCGACAAAAGAGGTCATTGAAAAAGAATTGCCAACAAAAGAGGTCATTGAAAAAAAATCCCCAACAAAGGAAGACAAAGAAGAAGAATCACCAACAAAAGAGGACATTGAAAAAGAATCACCTTCAAAACAGGTCACTGAAAAAAAATCCCCAACAACAGAGCATGCTGAAAAAGAATTACGAACAAAAGAGGACATTGAAAAAGAATCACCTTCAAAAGAAGACATACAAAAAGAATCACCTACAGAAGAGGTCATTGAAAAGAAGTTACCAACAAAAGAAGACCTAGAAGAAGAATCACCAACAAAAGAGGACACCGAAAAAGAATCACCTTCAAAACAGGTCACTGAAAAAAAATCCCCAACAACAGAGCATGTTGAAAAAGAATTACGAACAAAAGAGGACATTGAAAAAGGACCACCTTTAAAAGAAGAGATAGAAGAATCACCTACGGAAGAGGTCATTGAAAAAAAATCACCAACCAAAGAAAACCTAGAAGGAGATTCACCAAGAAAAGAGGACATTGAAAAAGAATCACCTTCAAAACAGGTCACTGAAAAAAAATCCCCAACAGCAGAGCATGTTAAAAAAGAATTATCAAAAAAAGAGGATACTGAAAAAGAATCTCCTTCAAAAGAAGACATACAAAAAGAATCACCTACGGAAGAGGTGATTGAAAAGAAGTTACCAACAAAAGACCTAGAAGAAGAATCACCAACAAAAGAGGACATCGAAAAAGAATCATCTTCAAAACAGGTCACTGAAAAAAAATCCCCAGCAACAGAGCATATTGAAAAAGAATTACCAACAAAAGAGAACATTGAAAAAGGATCACCTTCGAAAGAAGAGATAGAAAAAGAATTACCTACGGAAGAGGTCATTGAAAGAAAATCACCAACAAAAGAAGACCTAAAAGAAGAATCACCAACAAAAGAGGACATCGAAAAAGAGTCACCTACAAAAGATCACATTGAAAGAGAAACAACTGCAGTAGAGGGTGTTAAAAGAGAATCATTAACAAAAGAATTACCAAAAAGAGAGGACATTAAAAAAGAATCTCCAACAAAAGAGGATATTAAAAGAGAATCACCGACAAAAGAGGACACTGAAAAAGAATTGCAAAAAGAAGACAGTGAAAAAGTACCACCTACAGAAGAAGACATAAAAAAAGAATCACCATCGAAAGAGGACGTTGGAAGGGAATCAACAGAAAAGCAATTTTTAGAAAAAACATTATCTCCAAAAGAAAAAATAATTTCTACAGAAGAAGAGATGGAAAAAGTTTTGATAAAAACAACATCTCCATCACCTTCTAAAGAAACAGACGCAAAAGTAACGCTTACGGAAAGCATTTTACCTGAAGGGTTGAAGGAAGAATCGACCCTAGAACAAGCTATAGATATTCAGGACACTGATATAAAGGATGATGGAGCAGAAAAACTTCTCATGTCTGATGAAAAAAAATTACTTTCAGAAATCACTAAACCAGATACTAAAGAAGCAGTGAAAAGTCCATCACCGACAATAAGTGAAAGCGGCACATTTATACAAGAAAAAAAAGAACAAGTTATGGAAATGGCCATATTTGCAGATCATGAACTTGAGTTATCAAAACCGAAAGCTGTTGTAAAATCGCCTTTATCAGAAGAAAAAGACATTATTCTTGAAGTGAGAGAAGAAGCAGCAGCAACCCCAATGTTATCAAAACCTTCGACTCCGATTGAAAAAATTGATTCTGAAAAAATTAAGGAATCTGCTATTTCTGAAACTGGGTCTGAACTTGAGACTGTTGATAAAACATTAACAGAGCTTTCTGATAAAGAGGAAAAACCATCAGAAAAGACAGCTGTTGAAGATATGATAAAAAAGACCCCATCTCTAATATTATCTAAAGAAGTTGTCTCTGATCAAATTGAAGATAAAACAGAACTCGACTCAAAGTCTTTGATTCAAACACCCTCACCTCAAAAAGAGAAAGAAGAAAAAATTATTGTTGATAAAATTCAGAAAGCTGCGCCTTTTATTTCAAGTGAAGAAATTGTTCCTGAACTTGAAAAAAGTGTAATATCTCCCACTGCAAAAGAAACTGAAGATTCAAAACCAGAAGAAAGAGCTATTTCAGAAACTGGCGATTCGACTTCGACAGATAAAACGGATGTCCAGAAATCAGAAGATGAACCTACTCCAACTGAAGGTGCAGTTTCAGGTCACGAAGTGGAAATTAAAGAAAAAGAAGAATTATTAGTTTCAGAGGCTATTAAATCTCCGCTTGAAACTCCAGAAAAAGAAGTATCGTCACCTAAAGTGATCGCAAAAGAAAAAATACCTTCACTTATTGAAACAGAAGAACCAAAGGACGTAGTGGAAAAGGCTGCGGAGGAAGTGTCTCCAACTAGTGATGCAACAACAATTCATAAACTAGAGATTGAAAGTGCAAAAAAAAGTGAATCTATTCCCGATAGTGCAGACGTTCAAACAACCGATAAAACACCAGAAGAGATAACATTGTCCTCTATTGAAACAAAAGAATCAACTTCCATACAAAAAGATGTCGAAATAATTACAAAGGAACTATCACTTACTATAGATACCGTAAAAATTGAAAAACCAGATGATGAAATTGAAAAAGAAAGTGATTCCACTCCTGTTTCTAAAGACATTGAGACAACCGATAAAATATCGAAAGAGAAAACTCCATCGCCGGCTGAAACAAAAGAATCAAAGTTAGACGATACAGATCTTACCGAAAAGGGTACTGAGGAAGTGTCGCCAACAGCAGATATTACAACAATTAAAACACCAGAGGTTGATGGTGAATCTACTCCTGTTCTTGAAGAGATTGAAAAAATTGGGGAAGTACAAGAACCAAAGTTAGTTCAAAAAGATGTTACTGAAATGGTTGCAGAAGAAGTATCACCATCTTTAGATACTACAGTTATTGAAGAAACAGATATTGAAAGTACGAGGGCAAGCGAAACTACAGTCGACTTTGGTGATATTGAGGCAACCGATAAAACGTCAAAAGAAAAAACACCTTCTCCGGCTGATATGAAAAAACCAACGTTTGAACAAAAAGATGTTCTAGAAAAGGTTACACAGAAAGTATCACCAACTGCCGATACTGAAGCAATTGCAAAGCTGGAAGCTATGGAAAGTGAATCTATCGCTGTCGATGAAGACATCGAAATTAAAGATAAAACACCAAAAGAAAAAACACCTTCACCAACTGAAACAAAAGAAGCAACATCAATGCAAACAGATGTTATTGAAACAGGTATAAAGGATGTATCACCGACTATGGATACTTCAAAAATTGAAAAACTAGAGATTGAAAGTGTAAAGGAAAGTAAATCTACTCTAGACACTGAGACAACCGATGAAACACCGAAAGAAAAATCTCCATCAGAAACAAAAGAATCAACATCACTGCAAAAAGACGTTATCGAAAAAATTGCAGATAAAGAAATCGTGGCCGACGAAAAAGATGATGACGTGAAACTAGTTTTGCACGATACGAAGACAGTTGAAATAGATTCCCGAGAAAAAACACCTTCACCTGAAAAGATTGAAGTCGTTTTAAAAACGGAAGATGAAATAAGCAAAGAAGAAGCTATTTTACTTGAAAAATCTGAATCTGAAAGGGGTGAAATGGAAAAGATTTTGACAGATACGAAAACATCAACACCAGTAGAAAAAGAAACCAAAGATATTGAAAAATCACCACAAAAAGAAGAAGCAGCCTCACCAACGTCACTTGGGGAAACAACAAAAGATGATAAGGTGTCAGAGGAAGCACCTTCGCTATCAATCGAAAAAAGTTCCACGCCTTCAGAAAAAGTAGGCATTGAAGAAAGGAAAGACACCGTTTCATCCGAAATAACTCAAGAACGTATTTCACGTGAGACAACGGATGAAAAATCACCTTCATCAACTCGTGACGAATTGTCAAAAACAGTAGCAAAGGATATCTCTAAATTATCGGAGGAGAAATCTCCGTCACCAATTGAACCGAATGTGCTAGATAGCAAAGTTAGGTCTGAAGAAAGTGAAAAAATAGTTTATTCACCTATTCAATCAGAACTCAACTTAAAAGACCTTAAACATTTGGAAAAAACTTCGCTACCAGACAAAGATCAGCAGCAAGCTCCAATAGAAGATCAAATTGTTGAGGAATCTGTTATAAAAACACCCTCTCCAACTTTCGATGACAAAGTTGAGGATAAATGCATTACTGAAAAGACGATATCACCAGCTTCTCCAATATCCCAAAAATCTGATGCTATCGAAGAAGCCGTTTCTTTGAAATCTAAAGAAGAAATGTCTGATGAGGAAATCTTAGAAAAAGTGTCATCGCCTGAGAAATTTGAAGAAGCTGCTTCGATACAGGATGTAACAAAAGAAACATCTAAAACTTCCAGTTTTTCTGAAGATTTTTCGATTGAAACAAAACCATCCATTAGTGAGACTGAAACAAAAGCATCGTCCCTAATATTGACTACAGAACAAAAGATTTGTAAAGATGGTATCACGGAAGAAATAAAAGAGAGTTCTCCCTCTCCAGTTGTAGAAAAAATCATTTCATTACATGAAATTAAAATCGAAAGTGATACAAAAGAAAAATCTCCCATCTCTCCATCCAGTGAGAAAACTGAAAAGGAACTGAAAGACAAAACCCCAACACCTGATCATATTGACAAATCTGAACTAACCAAAGAAGATACAGATGACGAAATTAAAGAAAAGTTAACTTTAACTTTAGAGAAAGAAGCTGAAGAGAAAAAGAAGGAAAAAACACCATCTCCAAGCTTAACCACAACTGAAGATGCAAAGATTGAAACTTTAGAAAAAGAAGAAGATAAACTTCATTCACCCGATAAAAGAAAAATTGATGAAAAAATATCTTCTCCAATTCTTGATAAAGAAGATTCAGATGCAACAAAGGTAGAGGAAGCACTTCCTTCATCAAAAGAAGAAATTAAAATTATAGATAAAGACATGTCTGATAAAGAAAAAACACCATCGCCAACTTTGGGCGAAAAGGCAGACTTAAGCCCAACGCAAATTATTGAAGAAGAAGACAAATCTTCAGTATCGCCTACGGAAACGCCAGCAGGATCAGAAAAAATAGAAATTAAAGAAATTGAGGAGAAAACACCTTCTCCAATAGAACCATCTGCAGCGAAAGAAATTACTGAAGCTATCTTAGAAAAATCTGTTACTGAAAGTCTTACTGAAAAAGAACTAATATCTTCTGCTGCAAAAGAAGAAATTTCAAAAACAGAAAAAGAAATACGAGACAAAGTAGAGATTGAAAAAACTATCACAATAAAAGAATCAACTGAAGAAAGTAAAATAAAATCATTTTCTCCAACTGAAGAAATTATAAAATCTAAGGAAGAAAAAAGTGAAGAAGAACAAAAAATATTAAAAACACCCGAGGCCGAATTCGAAAAAGAAAAACTTTCAGTATCGAGTGAACAATCAATAATCTCTGATAAAGAGAAAACCCCTTCTCCTTCTGACGAGATTAAAGCACCAAAAGAGGAAAAGTTCGCTGAATTAAAAGAAAAATCATCCTCTCCTACCCTTGAAACAGCTACAGGTGAAACAGAAGAGAAATCACCCACTTCAGAGGAAAGAGATGCAGAAGAAAAAGAGATTTTAAGTCATACTGTTTCTAAAGAAGAAATAACACAAAAATCACCAACTCCGACCAAAGAAACCAAAACTATTAGCAAAACAGAAGAGATAGAATCTCTTGTGCCTACCGTGATAAAAGAAGCTGGCGCAACTGTTAAAGTTGACGAGAAAATAAAAGAAAAACTGGTTTCTCCGAAAACTCCCGAGAAACCTACCTTGGCGGAAGATGAAAGTGCTTCTGAAACAAAAGATAAAGAACTTTTTCCATCTTTAGAAACACCCAAAACGGTTGGAAAAACAGTTGAAACTGTAACAGAACAACTATCGATGACATCAGATAAAGAAACAATTTCATCGCCTAAAGATATTGTCAAGCAAATTTCTAGTGATGAAAGTGGTGACTCTAAGAAAATTGAAATTGATTTGAAAACTCCCCATTCTCCAATTTTAACTGAAGAAATAAGTGTAGAGGGAAAAGTACTACCTGTAGCAGAGGAAAAATCTCCGTCATCAGATTTAAAGAAACTGCCTCCGGATTCAGAGAAAGATGTCGTCATGCTTTCAGAAGAAATGATCGCTCCAAAAGAACTGAAAGAGGATGCATTAAAAGAAAAAGCACCATCTCCCACTTCCGAATCGGAAGCAGTTATAGAAGAAAAAGAAACGTTGTCTCCAGTTAGCAAGAAAGCATCGTTATCTGATGAGGATGAATATATTCATAAAACTGAATCATCTTTAACAGAAGGACAAGAAGAAATTTCAACAAAAGATGTCAAAATTGTGACTGAGAAAACTATTTCCACATTTTCAACTGAAGAAAAATCAGTTCCCAAAAAACCAGACATTTTAATTACACAGAAAGAAAAATCCGCTGATCAAACAAAAACTGATTCTCCAGCATTAGATGATCATAAAACAGAAGAAACTACAACTTCAAAAATTATCGAAGTAGAAATAAGTACAACAGCAGAACAAGATGTAAGGTTTCAAGAAACTCTAATTACTGGTCGAAAAGAGGATGAAAAAATGACATCTCCTGAAAAAGTCGAACATACTATCTCGCCTTTACAGAAGGATGAAAAGCTATTGCCTTCAATAGATTCGAAAGAAAATGTTCCCATAACAACAATGAAAGAAAAAGATCTAACACAAGATATAAAAAGCAAATCCCCAGAGGAAAGAGAAACGATGGATGAATTTAAATCCCCAGCTACTGAAAAAGATATTGACGAAGAGGATATTTCAGTTGAGGAATCAAAGGAAGAAGCTGTTTGCCTTGATAAAGAAGGTGAACAAACTTCTCCAGCGAAACATCATGTACCCAAAGAACTTGAGAAACTTTCATCACCTTTAGATAATAAATTGCAAACAGTTACTGTTAGAGAATCATCTGATGATAGTTCGAAGGTGATTACTGAAATGAGCTTAGAAATGTTCCAACAATCATGCTTAGGAGAAGTTAAAACGCAAATTAAAGATTTTGCTTGTATTCTTGAAAGGTTAGGAGAAGCGACAGGTATTTCAAGCAATGATTGTGAAACAATTATGCAAGAGATAGTTTTTGAAGAATTAAAACGAAAAGGATGGGTTATAAGCATCGTTAATATAATACGATATATAATTGAATATAAAACAGAAATTATCAGAATTTTGACTTTAAGAATTACTGAGATAAGATCAAAAGTTTTGGGCGAAAAAACTACTAAAGATATTATTGAACAAAAAGCAGCCATACTTTTAAAAAGTATAGTGGAAGCCGAAGATGATGAAATTTCCCCAATAGCTGAAAGTGTAATGGGAGACGACGTAGATATTCCTGATACAGATACTTACGAAACTAATTTAGTGGAACAGTTTTCCTCCCAATCTAAAGCTGAAGATGTATCAGTGGGTGAAACAGTAATATCAAAAACAGTTACAGAAATATCGACGCGTAAGATAGTATATGAGAAACCTGAAGCAGAACAAGTGTTTAGGCATATTTTTGCCGAAACAGTTGTTGATGATGATGTTGAAGTTCTTCAGGATGAAGAAGTGAGCAGAGATGAAATAGTTACCTCCCTCTCCACAGAGAAACTGGATGATGCAGAAGGAGATAAACTAAAATCTGATGACATGGAAACATCAGAATCTCCGAGACAGAAATTGATGTACATTGAAATAGAAGTTGAAGAATCAGTAACGACAACAACAGATGCATCAGCTGATACAGATGCTCCCGAAATACCATTCGATGGGAAGTACAAAGAAAGCACCGAAGTGAAAGATGAAGATGCAACAGCTAAGCTGGGTTTGGAAAAACCCGCAGAAGAATTAAGTACAGGGGGAACTGATGATGAGTTTATCAGTGCTAAAACTTCAATTACTGATAAAGTTGAAAAACAAATGTTAACTTGTAAGGAAGTAGATTTGGAAGAATCAGCCACATCATCAGCCAGTATGTCTGGGAGTTATGAACTAATAGCAAAAGATGCGAATGAATCTGAATTAAAAGAGCTAGATGAATTCGAAGAAAAGCCATCAGAAATAGATGCAGAAGGTACGAAACAGAAAGCAGAAAAAATATTGGAAGAGCCCAATCTGGAGCAAATGACACCTATTTCGGATATCAGAATATCTTCTACTGCGAAGGACGAGAAATCAACACAAAGAGAAATTTCGGAAACGGTCTTATCTGCACCAGACCAAGAATTTAAAGATGACGAGCCCACACAATCAAAAACAATTGCACTGGATGAAACATATACACCAAAAGATGGTGAAACAGCTTTGACTACAAAAGAAACAGTTGTAAGTGCAGATGGGAGAACTATTACTACCACAACTGTCACTAAAATTACGAAATCAGAAGAAATAACTGACAGCCCTTCTGTAACAAAATTGATTTCGGAGGCTGTTGATGGATCAAAAATTACTAAAACTATTACAACAACTGCCGTCAAAAAAGAAGTTCAGTCCTCAGAAGAAATTCAGGATGCTGGTATAATTGAAGGAGAAACTCCTGTTCCAAAAGATTCAATTATTATTAAAGAAACTGTCACTACCACTTCTAGTGTAACAGAACATCCAGTCTCCAGTGACACAGTAATCTCTGAAGATACAAGAAAAGAGATTGAACTAGACGGTCAGGTTCTTACTCATATTTCAGATACCATGACTCACGCAGCAGACACCATCGATAAAGAAAAGATTTCTGATGACGAAAGTGACTTTAAAATAAAACATACTATTTCAACAGAGACCATGAAAAAGACCGAAGACCAAGTCCATGAGATCGATATCAGAACCACTGTTCCATCGAAAGACAAAAGTCAAGTAAAAGAAATCACCAGCAGTAAAGAAGAAAGTTCAGATATGTTTAAAACTGCATTAGCATCAGATATAGAAAAAAGAAAGTCCACCGAACTCGAACAAACAGGTGATGAACTTCGGCAACCAACTAGTGATGAAGGTTTTGAAAAAGAAGAAAAAATCATGGAGAGTCAAACGACAACAATGCAGCAAACTTCGACTTCTGGTGATAGCTCAATTACAACCAAAACAATTACAACTTACAAAACGGAACAAATGAAAACTTTAGAAGATGAAAAATTATCATTCACAACAGATGAAAGTGGTGACATAAAAGTAAAAACAGATAAAGATATTTCCTCCATTGCTAAAGATGAATCAATGGTATCAATAACTAGTACTTCAAAAATCGATTTCGATGACAGTTGCAAAAAATCCCAACAAAGTGTCATAACTCGTGTCACCGAATTTATTTCATCTGATGCAATAGAAAGTGAAAAAATCGATATTGATGAAGAAATAATAGCACATGATGAAAGTTTAAGTTCTAAAGAAGCAGTTACTGTCATTGGCCACATACAGATAGAAGAAGAAACAAGTGGAAAAACATCACCAATAACAGAGAGACCATCAGATCAAGAGACAATTGTTGAAAGTGCTACAACTTACATTTCAAAAGAAATTCTACATGCAGATGAAGTTGATATCGGTACTAAAAAGGAAACCGGTGACCTACCAAAGACATTAATATATGAAAGTTCCTATTCAATGACCGAATCACCGAAATCTTCTGCTCTTGAATCAAAGAGTCCCACTGTTATTGAGGAAAAAATAGAAATCTTACCAAAAGTAGAGAAGATAGAGAAAAGTGCCGCATATGTTAGTGATTCAGCTGTTGAAAGTGATGATGCATCTTTAGTATCTAAAAGAGTTACAGCCACTTATATAACGAAAGAAATATTGGCAGATGAAGAAGATGACGGAGATGATAAAGGGGCAAAGATACAAGAAGCTCTCGGAATAGAGAAACTGAAAGACGATTCTTCCTCTGTTGTAAGTGAAATTAGGGCTACGGAAAGTGAAGATGGACAAGTTATTAAAACTGTTATTACCTCCAGCGTGACAAAAGAACACTCACCAGATGAGACTTTAGAACAGAAAGAAATACAAAAACCCAAATTTAGTGATTCAATAATAATAGAAAAAGGCCACATAGAGACGAGTGAATCAGATGAGCAAGAAAAAACATTAACAACCGTTACCGAAACGTTTGGAGAAAGTGGAGAACATATAGTCACCCAATCTGTTGTAAAAAGCTATGTTTCGAAAAAAACACCGTCACCAGTTGAACCTGAAGCTGACGCTTCAACAGATCAAACAGAGTTAAGTCAAACCTCATCAAAAACAACAGAAAAAAGTGCCTCGGTTACGTCTACGCAAATTGCTGAAGACGGAGGAACCATAGTATCTAAAATTGTTACGATTACTTCTGAAGCAAAAGAACTATTTTTTACGGACTCTAGTGATACAGAAATAGATAGAGATGCTGAGTGTATTAAATCAGAGGAGATTGAAAAAGTAAGTGATCAATCGGCTAGTAAAGATATAACTATAGATGGAACATCGGAAATGGAAGCAATTAGTTCAACTTCCGTAGTGGAAAAACAGCCAAAAGATGAAACAATTACATCTTGTATAGTTGATGGTACATCTTCAGAAGAGTTTGGAGACGAAAGTAGGAAGATCATAACGAAAACGATAACATCAAAATCTGACGATGGTTCGACAACAACAGTTATTACTTCTAGTTATACAATAAGCGATTCCCCTCAAGAAAAAACTAGCATAGGCAGAAAATCCAGTCACAAAAGTGAAGAATTAAAAGATATTGAAAAATTAGTCGAAAAAACTGTTTCAGAAACTACAACCATAAAATCAGCTGAAAGTGATGTCTTAAAAGAAAAAAGAGAGGATATAAAAACTGTCACAACATTAGTGAGAGATGAGGAAGATGATTCAACAAAAATAGCAGTTACGAAAAGCACTGTTACTTCAAAAATAGAAACATCACATGAACCCTCTGAAAGCGATAGGACTGAAACAGAGAGTTCATATGGAGATATTAAAACGAAAGTAATTTCAGAAAGCATTTCTTACAGCAAAGAAGCATCTAAAGATATTTCGCCGTCAGAAGTAGACAGCGGGATAAGTGATGCATCAGTGACTACTAAAACAACTGAAGAAGTTAAAACAATTTCTTCAACACACATTGTTGGAACCAAAGATACGCCAGGGAAAGAAGAATCAGCAAAATATGCTCCAACAACAAAAACTACTGCTGAAGCAAAATCAACTTCTACAGCTGAATCCTCAGAAACCATTTCTTCTTCAACTTTGAAATCTGAATCAGATGGTATAACACGAATCAAAGCGAAATCTTCATCGTTAAAAGAAGAATCAGGAGAAATTTTATCGAAAACAATCTCTAGTGTTTCCAGTTCAGCGTACACTGAATCAACGTCAGGTGAAGAAACAGAATCTCGTACTCATACTAAAGCTAGCACTGTAGAAATCATTTCCCCCTCCTCATCATCCATTACATTACTTCAACAAACAAAAAGTAGCTCTGAAACAACAAGTAAACAACAAAGTGATTCGGAGTCCATATGCTCTGAAACAATTTGTGAAACTACTGAGTATCGAACAATATCAGATGCATCTGGAGAAAGTGAAGTTCTAAAAACCACCATTCAAGAAAAAGGAGACTCTATTAAATCAGAAATGAAATTAATATCTGAAGAAAGTGTAGAACGTGAAAGCATGGAGAGTTCTAAGTTAACAACAGGAGCGAAGGACAAAACATCTAAAGAAAGCATAAGCTATGAGCATCAAATCAGCGAAGAATCAGAACAGAAATCATTTACAGAAGACACTATTGTTAAAAATGTAACTACCATGCAAAGTTCAGATGGAAAATATGAAAAGTCAGCAGAAACAGAATCACAGAAGAGCTCAGAAGAAACAAATATAAAATCATTTTCATCCAAAATTAAGGAAGAAAAAAGTGAAACAGTTGAAGGGATTAGTAAAACAAAGTCATCAATTGTAAGCACATCTGAAACAACAGAATCGCAAAGAGTCGTAGAAGACTCCAAAGATACATTCACAGAAGTCAGAACGTCCAAAATTATAACAGCAATACCAGAATCGGTAAAGCATTTTATACCTTCTCATACAAGATCGCCATCAGACGGAGAGTCATCTGATGATTCTCCTAAAAAACGATCTAAGAGAGTAGTAAAGAAAGTTATTGTTTTCCAAACTGATTCAGATTCATCTATTGAAGAAGTTTTAAAAGAAGAAAAAATAAGAGAGACTATAATGAAAGCTGGGGGTAAGGATACCAGCGCTGTAACAAAAATCATATCATCGGGTTCAACGGAGAACTTAGACGGCTTTAGCGCACAAGAAAATGTTATAAGAATTAAATCCCCCATCGAACCAAGCCAAAGTAGGGAAAGTAATATCGCAGAAGAAATCTCTTCTAGAAGTGAAACTTTCAGTGAAGAACTAGAACATGTTGCTTTTGATCCTTTTTCTTTAATTACGAAGCCAATTGAAGAAACATTCCGGAAGAAATTCCAAGAACAACAAACATCAAGTGTCATTCAAAGTACCAGCATGACTGCACCTACTCAAGATAGAAAGGAATCCACTCACACTAGTTTTATTGACCCCAAAGTAGCAACTGATGCTAAGAAACTTTTAATAAGTTCGATTCAATCTTCAACTGAAACTCATCAGCCTACGTCATCCGAAGAACCTGAAGCTTCAAGCTCTTCTTCAGCAGATAGACCAGCTAGTGAATCAAGATCAGAACGTACAGAAAGTGACGATCCGAATAATCAAAAATCATTCAGTTTAGACGAATGGGATAAACCAATGGGATTGCCTTCGCCTCCAGAGCCAATGGGATTTACATCTTTGACTAAACAAAACACAACACGTACAACGAAACCGGAAGGTGAATATAAATCTCAGGACGCAGTAGAGGAAGTAGTTAATTATCAAAATAATCAACAAATGTTTAACAATAGTGAAGATACAACACCAAATAAGGAAATCGATACAACACCAGAAAAAGAATCGCACACCTCTCACAAAACGGATGAAAAAAATATAGAACCTATCTATTTGGACCTAACTTATGTTCCTCATTTTGGCGATCCCCATTACAGTAACGTAGAATTTTTCAGGCGAATCAGATCTCGGTATTATGTTTTCAGTGGTACAAAACCCAGTAAAGAAGTGTTCAATGCTCTTTTGGAAGCTAAACAAGACTGGAAAGATAAAGATGCTAAGGTAACAATCATTCCTACCTATGAAACAGACACTTTAGGCTACTGGATGGCTGTTAATCAAGAAGCTTTGATAGCAAACAATATTGACGTGGCGCCATCTGCCAGTAGATGCACAATCAATCTGCAAGACCACGAAACCAGCTGTTCTGCATATAGATTGGAACTGTAAAAAAAATGTTAAATGACTGACTCTCTTAATCTTGAAAAAGTACTTAATTTGCAGTGCAGGATACTGCAAAATCAATTCCTTTTTGAGAAGCTGTACGAAGAAAGGCGAAAGCCGGGGACTAGAATAACAAATTTGCTTTGACTCTCATTAAAGTAAAATTCATCCTAGGGGGCTTTCAATTTAGCGCTTATACTTTCATATAATGGAATAAGGCCTCGAAGGCAGATCCAGAAAAATAATGTGAGATAACTGACCCTTAGTGCCTAAAGCTGACGTGATATGAAGGAATGGACAAGTAAAAAATTAAAGAGAAAAAAAAACTTATATTCCATATTTATTTAAAATGTTCTGCGTTCAGAACTGTCATATGAGCTCAGGGGAAAAGGGGCTTAGTATTTAGTTTTACAGATACAACATATTATTTACTTCTTATTTCAAAACAAATACGTCTAAATCTTTTGATACTATAGATGTTTATATAGATCCAAAAAAAAGTAAAATTTAAAACTAACATCGATTTAAAAATCTACATTTTAGGCTATGGAATCGTTGTTAACGAAATTCGAGAAGTAAATAATATTCGTTGGTTGTGATAATATGTTCATAATTCTCAAGAAATAACTAAGCCACTTTGGGGTAATAAATCTGTGCCAAGAGTGCAGAGAAATGTTATACAAGAAAACATGAGTAAAGGTTGTTAGTTTATCCTAGACGCTGAGATACTATATATATATTTTTCTTTGCCTAGTTCTAAACTACGAAATTAATATATAAATTGTTTGGGCTTACCATTGAACTATTCCTTTTCGTCCACTTTACGTATACTTCCGATTATTCCACGAATGTTCCAGTTGTGATTTAAGATGGAATGATGAGAACAAACTGTATTGTGAATCTGTGGTGCTTCTAAAAAAAAGGTTCAGTTAAGTTTTTCAACGTTTGATAATGTTTAAAGAAATTCCTAACAAAGAATATATTTTCAGTTGGATTTTCAAAACAACGTTACTTTCATTACGAGAAAATATATTATAATTTCATTTGGTTAGAAAACGTACAATGGTTTTGTTTTGATTTATACTTGAAAACATAATTTAACTGCCATATTTTTTTTTCTCGTAGAAGCAGCTTATTATGAATCAAAACAATCTGTGATGTTTTCGTATAGTGTACAAAAATGTGTTTTGTGGCAACAAAGTGATTATGTTTAAATTGGAAAATTCATTTCTTTTCAAGGATGTTGACCCTGTTTTAATTGAACAAAAACAAATCTGATTAATGTTTTTGTATTTGAATTACAACAAAAATCCCATTAATCATATATTTAAAAAAAACAACCTTAAATGAGTTCGGAAATTAATTTGATATAATTCTATCGTTGAAAAAATAAAACAAGTAATTAAAAAAAATCAATTTGTAGAAAATGAATCGTATAGAACCATTTATTTGAATACTTTTCTAAGACTTGTGCTCAATTAAATAAAATATTAATTCAAACTCTATCTGACATGTCTATTTAAATTTAAACAAAATAGACACTTGCAAGGTAAATAGACTACGATAAATTAAATTATGCTAAAAAAAGCCATAATTTGATGAATTGGAAAAGCTTAACATCTAATTCTGACAATATTCATATCTTCGCAAATGCTTACAAATCACTAAAAAATGAAGCATTTTTTACTAACAAAAAAAAAAAACATTGGTTCATAATATATAACATATTTTAATTCTACTTGTATAAAATATACATAACTGTTTTTGTACAATAATAATTTGGACACATTCCAATGTTTTATTACTATACTACAGTTATACTTAATTCTAAGTATAGTATTATTATAAAAACTAATTCTTATAGATTTAGGAAAAAATTAAAACCTTATTACAAACGTGATTGATATGGAAAAGGCGTTGCTGACGTAAAAATCTATTTGGTAATTATATTCACTTGAATATAAAGTATCAATTCAAACGGGGTACATCAACGTTCTTGTATCACATAAAAAATTTTACATTTATTATTTTTTCTTTAAATTATGATTGACTTTAGTGAAGTATTACTTACACTTGAAATTGTTTCAATATTTCATTTCCTTGATGTTTTTGAAACATCCCATGTATTAAATGTTCCTACTATATTTACAAAAAAAATATTTACATTAAGCAATATAAATATGATTTAAATAATTTTTGTAAACAATATAAGTGCACTTAATTAACGACATTTAATTTAATAAAATGATATTATTTTAAAGTATCTTGAAATATGTTATATTTTAAACCTATGAAGAAAAAAAATATTTTGTATATTTTAATTCGAAAAAAATATTTGTAGACTAATTTTTTTCTAAATTTATGTCTTTGTTTCTATATTATTTAAAAACATTCAATAATTTTGCAAATAATTTTATTCTTTGACAAATACTTATTTACTATTACTAAAAAGACTTTTCAGGAAAAAGCAACGAACAATAATTATTTATCACTGATTCAATTAAGGAATAATCTGTTAACTAAAACAAAGGGAATACTACAATTTATTTTAATACTTATCAACTGATTAGCAGACCACTTGCAAATTTTGCTTAACCAATTAAACACATCAAATTTATAGTAAGCACTTTAATATAGAGTTATTACCATTAAAATATATTCTTAATATGTATTACTTCAGTAACAAAATTATAATGGGATTTTAACACTATACATACTTGGAAAACAAATTAATATGATTTAAGTATAGCATTTTATTAATATCAACAAAATCCATTCTGAACATGTTATTAATAAAATTGTGTAAAAAAATATTAATTTATTCACTGATATTCTAATTAAAACCACATGTTTTATGTCTTCCTAAATGCCATATCCCTAAATTATATCAATAAATAAAAATACTAAGTATTATTTTTTATAACAGAAATTGCGCAAAAAATACTGAGAATCAATGAAAATATTATTAACTTCATAAAGATACCCAAATGGACAAATATATATATATATATAAATAAAAATAATAATAAAAAATATTTGCTTGCAATGATTTTAAATTTTCAGATAGTTATAAAAATAATAATAAACTGTTTTAAAAGCAGTACGTAGTATTCTTTTATAGAACACAGAGCCCGCGCTAAGCATTCGTTAACTCGCCAAATGCGATAAAATCGTAAATTCGATTAAACAAATTTCGTTTTGGCGAAAGTATTGGCGAACGACTTTTTCTACCTAAAAGAAAAATATAAAATATCCTCGATCCTGAAAATTAAGTCAAAATGAATTTTTCTGAACAAATTTTGTAAATTTTATTCGATTACAGTGATTTATGTTAGATTCGTCGCATAAATTAAAATTATATTATTAGGTCTAGATAATGTAAAGAAACAAGGGAGATTATGCAAGCATCAAAAAAATAAAAATAAAACTCAAATTACAGATTAACATGTACGTTGCCGGATCACGTGATATCGCGTGACGGAACTCTTTCAAACTGTTCGTCAATAAACGATTTAAATGAAACGTTTTATTTAAATGATATTTTATTTAAAAGATAGTCGGATTCTAAAAAAACATCTAATATTGCTTCAGGTGTAACCTTATATATTACTGCTCTAGTCTAAGAAGTTATCAAAAATTAGCCCCAACTGTAAAATGACTTTTGAATTTGCATTTTATATAATAGTTCAATTTACAATAGATTTGTATTTTGATTTTAAGTTTTCTATGGGGAAAAAATTCATCATTAAAAAATTGTTAAGATTTGTTTTTGTCTAGGAATTTTGAAATTTGGCTATTACTTTTGATATTTGGCTAATTTACTCGCTAATAAAGTTCTTAGCACGGGCCCTGGAACATATGCCCAATTAAAATTTAAAAGCAAATATAATTAAGATTTTTTGATCTTTATTCCAATTCAAATACCTTCAAACTCACGACAATACATAAAAATGAACACTCTTTTACTCTCTGATATTCTTCATTTTAGTTTTAAACAAAATGCTTAATGAAGTTAATAATTCGTAACAATACGTAAAAATAATAAAAGCTCTTTTTCTCTCTGACATTCTTTATTTTAGCTTTAAGAGGACAATGTGCATTCAAAGCAAAATATTGCATTTTTCATTCAATCCATTTTAAAATTTTAACACCACATTGGTAGCATTAATAGAAGTCTGTGTTTAAAGTAATAAATAACTATTTTAAAAAGTAATAATTAGTTTTAAAGTTATAGCTGAAAGCGTGGTTTTTAATTGTTGATAATTAAAAAGTTCCTTTCCAACGAATTTCAATTTATTTAATTAAATTTTTACCTAAATGCGTTGTTAATAGGTATTTAAATCAATTTAAGTGGTTATGGTAACCGTATAAAGTTATGACATTTCTAGGTGTAAAAGTTTTATTTTTTCATCAGAATTTTCTTCGAAAAACACACCTGAATTACACTTGTTCAATTATTAAATAATTAAATTAAGGTGTAGTGTTCATCAAATGCGCTTAAAATTAAACGAGACACATTAAAGAATGTCTGAAAAATTTCCTAACAATAAAAAAAAACTGAGGAGCAAGCATTTTAAATTTGCAAGAAAATTTAAAAATTCCATAACAAGAAAAGACAACTTTGTCAACAAGAATTTGATATCAATATTCACAAATTCAAACTTTTTTAACTCGATAAGGAAAACTCCAATTTGAACACGATTAGTTGCATATTTCTTTGTAAAATGTCAATTTCTTTAATAGCTAAAAATCTAAAAATAGATTTATAAAAGACTTTTCTCATTCTGAATGCCCATTGTCCCCAATGAAATGTTTAAGAATGTTTAATGAAGTCATAACTCGTGACAATACATGAAAATAGTATAACGTTCTTTTACTCTCAAATATTCTACATTTTGGTTTTATATGAAATGTTTAATGAATTTATAACTCGCGACAGTACATGGAAATACTGATAACTCATTGACTCTCAGATATTCTGAAAATTTTCGTGCGGTGTACAATTTTGCACATAGCTCTACAACACAAAATATATTAGAAGTCTCTAATCAAATGTACACGTCAATTTGCCCTGATCGTCCATTCGAAATAAAGCCGAATCAGACAAAATTTCAAAAAAAAATAAACAAATAAAATCCTACTTGCAACTGTAATTGAAAGATATGAGCATAACATGTTTAGTTTCTAGCAAGAAAAAGCCTAGATCTTCAACTACAATCGATATTTAGTGCTAAAAATACCAAGCGAGAAGACGAATAATCTAATTATCTAACCAGCCACTTAGAGGGCGTTTACAATGATAAATGTTCTAACAAGCTGTAAGTGGAATTAAGGTTAAATATAAATAAAAATAATAAACAGTTTAGTTATAACTCGTCCAAAGCTGAAGAATCTACACACACAGTGTTGTCATTTTTTACTATTATCGAAGTTGATGGTAAGGGAAATTCGCAACTCAACTCCAAGGAAACTTAACGCGATTATTCCCGCCACTTGAAACTTTTCTCAGTTAGTAAGGAAGGCAACTCTGGAATCAATTGCGTAATCGAAGATTTTCAGAAATAACACTCAGACTCGAACTGTAAGACTTAATTGCTACTTTGCTCAAAAGTACTAAAACTATACAGCTATAATTTTATAGCTGCTGCATACAAGTCTGTTCTTACAAATGTATTCCAGTCAAGTTTAAACCAGAATCTATAAACTCAAGCACAATAATATATAATGGTATATACTAGTCCAAAAACTTTTTACAATTTTTTCTAAACTTTAGAGTTAGGGATAATTTTGAAATTTCCAAAAATATAAATTTTATCTTAAAAAATACATTACCGAAATTCCATTTTATCTGTTCCCATCACTATTGCTCAATTTAAAATGTTTTGACGAATAAAATATAGTTATTCCAACCTGTTTGGTATATTATTTACGAATTAAAGAAAAAAAACACCTGTTACTCCCTCACCCAGAGAAGAATGTAGAAAAAATTTTATGAATCTGAAATTTTATTTCATACCTGAAACTTATAGTTTACGATTAATGATCGATAGCGGAATATTCCATTGAATATTATTTTTTATTCAGGCTAATATACTAATATTAGTAATACTATTCTAAATATATAAGACAGGAATTCTGAGAGTCAAATTATCAAAAATTACAAAGGAATATTTTTAGTATGAATATTATTATTGAAAATGAAAAAAGTTATGTTAACAAAATTTTTGTATAGATTATAAATTTATAATAGATTTTTATTTAATAATTACAAGCAGCAATTTAATTTTCAATTAAAACAACCATAAAATTACACAATTTTCGTTTTCAAATTTAAATTTATTAATAGGATAGATTTTGATTAAAGTCTCTTTCATCAGCATATATTATCAAATTATTTTTTTTTTTAACAGCAAGCACTATCTAAACTTATTTTTAAAGAGAAATTTACATTTGCAATAACATTTGACTATTTATTACATTCCTTTTGCCGAAAAGGCAAATTGACTTCATCTTACTACTCATAATTATATACATATTAACAAGTTACTTGATCAAATATTACATATACTCAGAGAAAAAAAGGGCATCAAATTATGTCACAAAATATATATATTCCCAAAATATCTTACAATATTTTTTGCAATGTACTTCTTTTTTTTACATTTTTCATATCCTAAAAGTAGTTTTATTACATAACAGGATATTATTGCTTTTTTTTTTCAAACCTGAATTCTCCCAAAATTTCAAGTACATTTTCACAATTAATATATTCAATATTACTTCATAAATAAAAATTTAAATATTTTAGTAAACAACGAATTAGTTATCAAAAGCGAACTTAGAAAAAAAAAATCAAGTTACTTCTTGTTTCAGTCAAGCAAATTAATGTAAAGAAGAAATGATATTTTAAAGAACTTATTTATAAATCTTTTCATGTAATTATAGTTCAAAAATCTGATTTATTGTGAAATATGTGCATTGTATAAACTAATTTTTTTTCTGTGAAATGTAGTTATTAATTTTTCATGACCAAATACTTGAATAACAGCTTCAAACTGTCACAAAGGTAAAAAGTGGTAGTACAAATATTTCATTTTTAGCATTTATAAAGGTCCTATTTTTTTTATCCATACTAACACAAATCCTAAAAATTTTCACATACCCCTTTAACTAAATTCCTTTCAAAATGTGGTAAAAAAAATAGTTTATTTCTATTTCAAATAACTTAAATGTTATTCAAGATCAAGACAGTCCTTTTCAAGATCCTTTTAATTGACATTTGTATTTTTTTTTTTTTTCTGTTTACCTTTAAAAACAATTCTGAATGAATTTCATTGAGATATCACCTGAGAACTTTCCTTTATGTGTACCACTAATCTAGAACGATTGATGTGGGATTTGTAAGAAATTTGTGTTTATTATCAAATATCAATAATTCGAAAATCTATATCTGTTTTGAAATCATGGAACAGATTTTTTTTAAATTACATTTATTGAAAATGATATGTATAAAAAGTAGTACCCAATTAAATAAAAAATAAATTTGCAACCACTTTTTATCTTTGGTTTGTAACACTGAGCTATATTTTTTTCAAGAGATTGTTTATTTTTAGAAAATACTTTTTGACGATAAAGCAAAATGAATATAAATAAAAGGAAATTGCTAAATAAATATAATTTGTAAAAATAAAATATTATTTTTGACATTACAAAATTAAGTACCTTTGTGAGAATATGCTCTTTCATTTATATTTTGTAGTTAAAACAAATTGACAATCACACACTGACTTAGAAAATAATGTAATGCTATAATTAAAAAAACACATAAAATATCTATTTGTATATTATAAAATATAATCCACTGGTTATACAGTGTAAACAATGGGATAATGTGTGGTTTAAAATAAAAGTGAAAAGTATGCTGATGTTATATATTGATAAACCTATGCAAATGATTGCTCTGCAGATACTTAAGTCTGGGTGGAAAGGTACAATAACGAAATATACTTTGTACTTTAAAAGTAAAAGAAAGTGCTACATTAAAAATGTTGCTAGGAAATATAATGCACAAGAGTGCACTTTAAAATATCTGTACATATTAAGCACTAAAGTGCTGAATTCACTACAATACAATGCTGAATGGACTGCCACTTCTATAGAAGTGAGAGACTCTCACTAATATTAAATGATTTCAAAGGCAAAGAAATGTTAATTTTTAGAGATGTATCACAAAGTAATATTTTTAGTGATACATAATACTAACTTATTATACAATCTAGTAATTTTCCCTCTTTGAGTCTAGGCCAACTGCAGAGCAAGGCAAAGCATACATATATTTCATCTAATATCAAAATATGTATTCCAATTTCATTACTCTGCAGTATTCATATACTACTGAAATTCCTTAATGAAGAATGTTATTTGATCATATGCTTCTTATGAACTTTTTTCATTTCACTTGGTTGAATACAGCTGATGCTTATTGCTTGTGATACTATATTTATTAAAGAACTCATGATTATTCATTTCCTGCTCTTGCCAGCTTTGTTTTGATCAAAGAATTTTATTTAGTGCCAAATAGAGAAAAGAAAAAACCATATTCAATGTCCATTTTATTCTCTTGTGCTCATTACTTTCAAGCTTGAGGTTATGTGATAACTTATTTTATTGCCATTGTTAATTGTATGTTATTGAACACTGTTAATAAAGCTTGCTTGTTGCTTCCATAGTTTCATTTAGAATTTAATACTTCTAAATACAAAATTCATTCAATTTAACCAATTAACATTTCTACTCATATCAAATATCTACCATTGCCTTATATAGCTGTAATTCATAGCAAAGAATATTTTTTATAACTCTTAAAATATAAATATACTCAAGGTATTAATATGTTTATTACATAGGGCAGCAATTCCTAATTTTTTATGGCTATAGAATCCTAAATAATAGAGCATCTTTTGGCGGAATCCCAGGTTAATAAACAAAATTAGTAGCTGTGGATAAACTAACAAAAAAAACACACACACACACAAATTATTTTAATCATGTTTAATGTGAAGAAAGAAATTATTTAGTCATCGTTTTACCAATAATAGACTTTAAACAATGAGTTTTATGTCAATCAATCGAATTTGCTGGTTTGGAGTGGCATCGAGACTAGTTCTGAATTCTTTTTTGGTGTATGCATAAGCTGAAAACGAATTAAGTACAGTGAATTATAATTTTTAAGAAAGAACTGTTATAAACATGGTGAAAGGTATGAAAGAAACATAATTTACTAGTGTAGGTTTTGATCATTTTATATTAAAATGTAGAGTTCGATGAGAAATAATAATGCATTTCTTTATAAATACATATTCTTTTCACATGGATGCCACTCAAAAAAAAATTTCAAGACTGAACTTATTCTTTAACCAATTAACAAATTCTATCTTTGTTTACCAGAATTTTCAGAAATTTAAAGCAGACTTCAAAATGCACCTTTCCATGACAATGGCACATATATAAATTAATAATTAGATTTTTTTTTTCAGCAAACAAAATAAAAATAACAGCTAACTATAAAAGTAGCGACAGGGTATCTGCTACATATTAGATTTTCAAATTCATGACTTTCCATGACTAATTCCTAGCATTTTTCATGACTTAACGAAGTTACTATTTTCTCTGACAAAAACACAACAAGAAATTTATAAAAGCATTATAATAACATAAATTGAAATAATAAGTATAACCAAAACTGTTATACTCTGCATCGTCATATTTAAAGATTTTAAATTTAAAAAAACAGAGTAAAGAAAGAGTTGTAGAAATAAAATAGCTGAAAAAAATACAAAAGCAAAAAAAAAAATTTCTGCAGAATTACATTCTAAAGATACTTATCATATTCATCCGAAAGGAAAAAAATTCTCCTGATTTTTCTGTTTTCATTTCGTAATTTTAAAAAAAATTCGCCAATGATTGCCTTGCTTCAGCTAGAATATTAAATTGATGAAATAAAAAAATAATAACAAAAATTCTGAAATCACAGAAGTTTAAAAGATAATTCGCTTTAGAAATGATGTTTTTTTCTTTCATATTTTGAAAGAACACCATAACTTTTAAAGAACATGATAAAAAAATTTTATATGTTAATAAAATATGACTGTGAGTGGGGATTTTATTGCAAATTCAGATATTCGGACCACCATGAAATGGGGGGGGATAGTTTTAAATTCCATTTTAAAAATTATATTTTTCAGCGACCTAAATCCATGACTTTCCACGATTTTCTTTTAAAAAAATAATTGAAATCATGACATTTCATGACAAATTTTGTTCAATACCGAAATGCATGATTTTCCAGGTGCGCGGATACCCTGTAAAAATATCTGCGCAAACGATAAAAATAACAGCTAAGCGGTGGGGTATATATCTATTCTTTTTTTTTTTTGTTGCTTCATCATTATTTATTTCTTGTCCTATCAATAAAATTTTTTTAACTAAAATAATCTTAACTTTGGTCAGCATTACAAAATGTTAGGGGAAAATGAAAACTTAAACAAATTTAGATTCAACAGTAGTAAAAATTTTGTTTAAGCAAGCATGTGCTGAAGTGCAATAAATCCCATTCATTCATTCATTGTTGGCACATCATAGCTTGATCATTTTGCAATAATTATGAAAAATAACAATATTTTCATTAAAATGTAATATTTTAATTTTAACAGAAAATATTTGAAACACTTTTAATGAGAAAAATACATTTTAATTTAAAGAACAAATTTCCCCCTAGATTGCATATTTAGTGGTATTATCTGCAGAGCATTGCCATTTTAGACACTTTCATAATTATAGATGTAGACACTTGAAATTTAAGAGGGTTTATATGCACATGAAATGGTTTGAATTATTTTCAAGCATTTTGAGGCAAACAAAATTTTTGATCTAAAATTGTAATGAATTTCAAGGATTCTTGTTAAATGTAGTGTGAACACATAAGAAAACACTGACTGATTACATAAATATTATTTCAGAAATTTTATTTACAGAATAGTTCTAAAAACATTTCCATTATATTAATTTTAAAATTTTCAGATATTTAGAAAATTTAAATTCTAATACAAATCTTTTTTTTTTTCAATCAAGGCAAATATTTTAATATGGACAGGTGTTGCATAATCCTATGTTTAGACAGATTATAATATTAAATATTACATGTATAGAGAGAGGTTACAATACAATTTACTTCTTCAAATATAATTGATCCCATTCATGGTTGTGACCTGCAGTTCAAGAAGTTAATATACAGCAAATGCATCTAAAGCTTTTATATGAAAAACTGCTAAATCAAATGAAATGAATAAAATATGGTACAGTGTAATTGCAAAATAACAAACTAAATATTTAATTGATACATACAAAGTAATTTACTATTAATTTTATCACAAACAAAACATTTTTACATGTATACAATACAGCATTTAAAGTGTTAAAAAACAAGGTTGACAATCATTAATAATTTGGAGAAAGATAGTAAAAAGCAAAATAAAATAGAAAGTAAATGGGAAGCAGATATTAATTTTTAATGATTTTTATACAGTCCCCTGTAATAAAATGGTAGCTTTAAAATTTAAAAACATTTTTAAACTTTACAATCAGTTTTGGACATTTGATAGTATTCCTTAACTTTTAACAAAGTACTGTGAGAAACAAAACAAAGTTGCTCAACGATAAAAAATAATAATAATAACCACTTGTGAACAGATGTATGTCTATTATAATTGCCATTAAATATTTAAATACAAACATTACTTGAAAAAACCTATAACACAAACAAAGATTATGAATAGCTTCACAAATTAATACAACCAAACAAATAACAGGGTGGCCATAACACAAACAGAAAAATATTCTCTGACTTTTCCAGACAGATTTTATCAAACTTTTCTGATTTTTGGAATTGATGGAACAGTTATTATTAATTTTCCAATTTAACTTATTCATGTCCATAAAATTAAATGAAAAATATAAAAAAATTATTACCAAGAATAAACTAAAACAAATACTTTAAAAGATTCAAGAAGATCAGCAAAAATATATAATGGAAGCATTAAAAACAAAAATTTTTGCAAAAAGAGTGCAATATATAATATTTTTGTTTAAAAAAATTTTTTTTTTAAATTATGAAATTTTAACATAATTTTATAAACATAATATAAATACTTGAGTAAGGGGAAATAAACATTTGGTATATAACTAGTTGTGGTTATAAATAAGATTCAAAATTGAGCATCAGAAAATATCTTTCAGAATCAGAACTTTTTTTTTCTTGAAAAAATACTGGATTTTTTTTAAAAAAACTACTTTTCGTTCTTTTTCCTTGATTTTTGGTCATTTTACTTAAATTTTCTGATTTTTTTTCAGATGGATAAAAATCACCTGAATTTTCCCTGTTCAATGGCCACCCGGCGATAAGAAAGCAAAAATGTCTTAGCCCTTTTCCAGTGGTTGCAGTTGCTAAAATATAAAATAATCAATGTGATTAATATTTGAAGAAACTGAGTTTATTAATAAGGATCAGATCTAGCAAGAAGTGTCAAAAAGCAATGAAACATTTCAATTCTAATTTCTGCTCAGCAACTTCAACATTTCTACTCAATTTGATAGCAAAATTGGTGTTGTCTGCATTTGAAAAACTATTAACTGTTCCATTACGAAATACCTATATTAAATCATTGAAACCAGTATAAAAACCTAATTAAAAACTAAGAATAATTCGAAACAAATAACCATTATACTTATAAATAGTATATATTAAAAGTAAATTAAGCAAACAAAATAAAATATTATGCCAGATACATGAACCAAAGAATGGGTTTGAAACAAAAAAAAAAAGCAGTTGAAATATCTTTTTCTCGTAACACCAGACCGATTGAACTATCAATTCAACATTTTGCTCGGGAAAAAAAACTTAGTTGTGGTAAGTTTTATTGTTACAAATGAGATATTTGTTCATTACTAGCTTAATTAGGAAGAACCACTAGTACAGCATCAATAAAAAATCGGTATAATGTTGTAAACACTTGATGAAATTTGAGAAAATGGCCTTCATAAATAGCTTTTAAAATTACAATTCACATTAAACATAGTATAAAATGAAGTAAAAATGCTCAAACATTATAATTATATGTTTCATTTACAAAAATAACTACATATAAAAATATAACGCTCAAAGTTAAACATTTTCATTTAATTTGGCAAACAATAACTGCTCAATATATACAAACATAGAAAATAGAATTATTATTTGTTACATTTTTACATGTTTAAAACTTCAATTATCAATGTGTTTAATAAATATAGAAAATTAAACTGTGTATGGGAGAATTTAAAACTTTCTAAAAATTGCTTAAAATACATATTTGAAAAATTTATACAGTATAAAGATGATGATTAAGCAAAGGATATCAATATTATCAAAAATAAAGAGTAGAAAAATGAAATAAAGGCACGAGAGCATGAAATACACACAATGACACATTTATTATTTTGATTTTATACATTTATCCAAAGTTTCAAGACCTATTACATTAAACAATAACTTTATTCAAGTAAAAACATCTATTAGACAATCAACTCAAATATTTTAACTCATTTTTCATGAAAGTAAATACAAAGAACTAAAAGAGGTACAGTGCGCAAAAAAACACTGAATCACCCTAAATAGCTGTTGATATAAAGAAAGGATTTTTACGGACTCGAACTCAAATTCGAGGAGATAACTTCAGATATGTTAATTAAAGCAAGAGTTATTGTGAATTAAGAAATCAGACACAAAAAAATTATTTTGTTGAATAAACATACCTTTTTTACCGGATTTCTGACCCTCAAAATATAGGAGGTAGCCACATTCTGGGAAATATGGCCCTAATAGTTTGGTTAGGAGAGCAGTCAAAAATCTAGAGCCTTTAATGTTAATTTTACTTTTTGTCGCAACAGCTCTAGAACTTTTTAAGCTTTGCACACATTTGTAATATTGGTTAATCCAAAGATAATTCCATGCAAAAAATAATTATATATTATCTTATTTAATAACACTTGTAAAAATTTTAAAATGTAAAACATACAAATATTTAGATAATTTTTTAAAAAAAATTAATTTTATGAGGCAAAATAAAAAAAAATTAATTAATTTGGTAGACTAGTTGAGAAAACCTTTAAATATCTGACTTTTGACTTAACTCCTATTATTTTGAGGGGAATTCATCAACAAAAAGAGGTGTTTATTCAGTACCCTTTTATGTTATTAAGTTATTAATAACATATGTTATTAAGTACCCTTATGTGTTCAATTTCTAACTTAAAATATCGCCTGAACTAATTAGCATATTTGAGGTCACCACTATGAACCATTGAAATTGAGTCCTTGTACATAAAAATTGGATAATTCAATCAAAAAATTTTAAAGAGCATTCCTCTTTTTTTTCTTTCTTTTTTTTTGCAAACCGTACATTTAAACTTTACTGCTATTGAATAAGATTTTAAATAAAAATAAAACAGCTTTTGAAACATCTTAATAACTTTTGATCTACTGATCAGATTGTTTGTATTAAAAAGCAAACTTAACAATTCAAAAGGTTAATCTTAAATATGCAAAACAATTTGAGCAGACGAAATAAGTTATAAAGTCAGACACACAGAAATGTGCTTTCTATGAAAAAATATACCATTCCCTATTATTTTACTACTACTTAATAAAAAAAAAATTTCAATAAGCATAGAAGTTAAATGCTATATATTACACAGAATTTACTAAAAGTCAAAAAAATTTTAACAGTACAAAAATTTTTGAACATTCCAAATTATGGTTTTATAATTTTAAATGTCAACATTTGAAATTTAAATAGAATAAGACAAATATTTTTTGAGTAATAGAAAAATAAAGTATTACTTGTTTAAAATTTCCTTTTCATTGCTCGAAAACTATTCAGCAAAATTTGCATTTTGACAATCAAATTTTAAAATTTGATAAAAATTAGTGAACCTTACAATTTAAAATTTTTTCCAGTGATATTAAATTAAACTAAATAATCTTAAAAATAATGTTTTTCATGGATTTATCTTTGATTAAACAAGTTTTTCAACTCTGTGCAATATCTCTGTCTCCATAATTTCAGACAAATTGCAAAATATGCTAATAAAAGTTAAACTGATATTGAAAGGTTTTTTTTCCTAATCATATTTCACAGGTTAACCCCTCCAAGGCATTGAAAAAAAAAATTTATTCAGAAAAACTACATTTGTGTGCCGCAATATGCAACTCATAAAAATTCATTATCATATTAAAATTTAGACCCTCCCACCATTAAATTAAGAGAGCATCAAAAATGATCATTTAAAAATCTAGTCACTAGACCTAAAGTAATTAAAATTTTCTGCCTTATTATTTACTGCACTGTACAGCAAAGACCACACACCAAAATGATACACAAAAAATCAACAAACATGAATAATGTGAATTTCATTTCAGTCAATAAAATATTAATACTTTTGAGTATATAATATTCAAAATAAATATTTCTTTAATAATGAATTATGCTAAAAATTCCTTAATTGAAAATTTAGAATTAACAGGTTTTGTAGTGGAAGATGTATCTACATCATCTTTAACATCAATTGTCAGATAAGTCCATGCATTTGTGATTGGTAAATCCGATAAGCCATATTTTTCACGAACATCTTCGTGTACACACCAAACCGGTTTCTTTATAGTGTCCACTGAACGCTTTGTGGCAATTTGTCTCAAAGTTGCAGTTAGTTGACGCTTAGATATAAATGAGTCTGAGGAAGGAGAATCGGGAACAGAAGTTGAGCTGCTCCCTTCAACTTTTGTTTCTGGTTTTTCAGATTGCTCTTGAGATAGGGAATGTTGATGCCAAAATTTCTTAAACTCTGCAATCAGGAAAGCTAAACTATGGTGATTACCATGAGCTAGACGAATTAAGTATGGCATTGCTGGAAAAAAATGATAAAAACACAAGCAACATTAAGTAAGAGAGTTCTACACATTTAGATTAAAATATTTCAATTAAAACTCTAAATAAAACACATATACAGTAGATTCTCGATCAACCAGAATGGCATTATCCGGGGCAATAAAAAAAAGAGAAAGAAGAGAAGTGCAAATTGCGGCTATTGAAATGTGCTGGAAGACAACATTTTTAACCTGTTCTTTCTATTGTATTGTATTTCAAACCACCAGACAAAATCAATTACCTTGATACGTTTCGAGTAAAATAAAAAAGTTTTACAAATTTTTATAGTTTAAATTTCAAAGATAAAAATTTTATAGCTTAAATTTAAAACCAAAAATTTTGTATTAAAACTTTTTTATTATTTATATTAAAAAATTTACATTATTAATTATGTTACAGGCTTTAAATTGAAATAGAAAGTAAGCTTTAAAAATGTTTATTATCCCAATATTTTATGATGCTAAGAAACATGAAACTTATTAATTAGTTGTTTTTTTTAAAAATTAAGAATTGGATTATTTATTATGATAACACTGAATACAAGAAATTAAATGCAAGTGACACTGCTTAAGTTTTTATAGAAATATTTGGTTGCATAAAAGAGGTGAATTACAATTAACACTAGCAATAAAATTGTGTGAGAATATGGGTAATGTCATATTCATTGGAATGAATTTCACAAATATTAATGTTAAATGTATTTGACAAATATTAATGTTAAAGTAAATTTCCCTGAGAAATCTAGATTTTCCAATGGCATTTTCAAATTCCCAGAAAATTCCAAGAATTTCCAGTTTCCACAGCAAGTGTTCACCATGCATATGAATATACAGAAGGCATAATTTGAACTTTCTTTGATTTTCCAATCGGAATGCGATTGCCTTTGCAATGTTAGTTTCAACTCGGGTTGGCAAGTTTTTGATAATTGTCGTTTTGTCCGGCTTTAACAAAGGTTTTATCCATCATGTCAAAAAAAACCTTTTTGACAGTTTTTTGCAATGTGAGTTTCAACTCAGGTTGGCAAGTTTTTGATAATTGTCGTTTTGTCCGGCTTCAACAAAGGTTTTATCCATCATGTCAAAAAAAAAAAACTTTTTGTCAGTTTTTTACAAGCGTCAAAAACCCAAAATTTTAGTGTAAGGATAATTATTAACTTAGCTAATATAAATAAGACGCATTTTTAAATAAACACATATAAAATTACAAGTGATCAATCAATTATATTATTGAATTATATTGATAATAATCTCTTTTTTTGTTTTGATAATTACTGTCAAAAACCTGAATTTGGGTGCAGAAAATATTAAATAATTATTAATAAAAATATGCAAAATTGAAATTTATCCTATCTGTTACTTTCTTAAATTGAAAATAAAAATACAAAAACATCAGCTTAATAAAAATCATTCAACAATCATCCTATTTATTATGTATAAAATCAAGTTTTATTAACTCCCATTTTAACTCCTCCTTTCCCTAAAATATGCCATTACAAAAAGAAAAAAAAAAAAGCTTAGAAGTTATCTGTATTGTTAAGTTAATTTTTCATTTTTCTATTAATAAGACTGAAATTCGAAATTATCCTTTCAATTGACGCTGAGCTCCATAGTCTAGAAAGTAGATGTACTAAAGCTATTATAACATAATAAAATAACATGTAACTAGGAAATTTATTCTAATAACTGTACTAAATATTAATAGCAATTGAATTAAATCCTTGAATTAATTGATTGAAAAAATTCCCTCATTTAAAAAAATATGTATATTTTTCATAAATTATAATTAGTTCACTAATCTACGAAATAATTATACATGATTATAATTAACATTAATTCACTGATAATGGAAATATTCATGTACATATACGCAAGAGTGGAGAAAACTTTCAGAGCCTAATATTCTCTATGAACTAAGTTTCTTTTCGGATCAAAATTTCACCAAAAATTTTAGCTTTTTTTAAAGGACGCTAATTTTTTAAAAATATTTTTGGAATAATTTATTTTTGACTTTACACAATTTTTGAAATGAGCATATGTGTCATAAATAATAGAAATTCAAATATATTGAAATAATAATTTATTAAATTAAATTTAAGGTGTGTTCTCATGTAGCAGTAGAAAACTATTGAATTTTAAGTCACACATATAGTAGGTAAGTCTTGATTTTATAAACATTATAAATTAATTTCAATAACATGGAAAGCATATTAGGTTAAATTATAACAATTGAATATTTTTAATTTCTTATATTTTTAATTGTGTCAGTATATAATATGTTCAATTATATCAGACAGTATTTGCTATCAGCATATGCCTTCTATTTTGTGTATGATCTCATTCTAGTTCTAATTCAAATTTATTGATTATGTTCTTCTTCCCTTGCACAATGCTCAGTAATTCAGCTAGAAAATTTAATAAATATGTGACAATTACAAAAATTCCTGATAAGTCCTTTTCTCCAACATTAGTGTATGAGTTTAAATAATAACTTATCATAGTTAATTAAAATTGATGCTATAAATTGAGTTGCACACAAAGAGAAAACTGAGAAAAATGAAAGATCCCTCGGACATTTTGGGTTCATAGGCAGAGGAATGATAGCAAGCTTCTTGTACAGCAATCAACTCCTATCCAATAGTGTTATTTTAAATATTTAGTTGAATGATATTAGATATAGAATCAAATACACTTTATAGAATTTTTGTATTCTAGGTATTAGCAGTGTTTTCACTACACTGCGAGAACGCGAGAATATCGCATATTTTTGTTCTTTTCTCGCATTAAAAAATGATTACCGCGAGAAATTTGCGCATTCTATAAATCAATTTCAAAATTCGCGAATTTCTCGCATTTTGGAAAAAGCTTCGAATTACGCCATTTAGAATAAAATCCGTTTCACTTTTCTTACTGGATCTTTCATTATTTTCAACATCTGCCCCATTATCTAGCTTCCCTATTTACCAGTATTGTTCAGAACCTTTTCGAACAACAGAACACAACCACGGAACCCCTTTCAGAACACATTTGTCTGCAACCACGCGTTTATCATAGGTAAGGTTTCTTCATGTAAGACGTTCAAATTTTTTATGCACTTATGCAAGATGGACAAATACCTTGTAAAGGCAAAATCTTCTATGATGATGCATCAAAAATATTCAATGCTTTAAGAAGTAGAAGACGTTAAAAATGTATTATAATTAAAGAAAAGATTTTTTTTCAAGAGTTTTTGTGTTTTTTTAGAAATCTCACTTAACTTTTTTAAATCTCACCCTGTGTTTGAGAAAGGGTGAGAAATTCTCACCCATTTTTTTTCTATGATGAAAACACTGTATTAGCATTCAAAAATAGTTGCTTTAGTAGTCAAAAAGAACATAAGTCTATAAATAGTGATAAAAGTAGCACATTAGATAGGAAAATCTATATTTAAAAAAAAGAGAGAGAGAAATATAAAAATGGTTTATTGTAATGTCCTTTATGCTTCCTCGAGAAAAAAAAATCTATTCCACTTTCCTTTTTTTAAAAAGTCTTTAACATAACATAACACAGTCTTGAACATAAGTCTATAAATAGTGATAAAAGTAGCACATTAGATAGGAAAATCTATATAAAAAAAAAGAGAGAGAGAAATATAAAAATGGTTTATTGTAATGTCCTTTATGCTTCCTCGATTAAAAAAAAATCTATTCCACTTTCCTTTTTTTAAAAAGTCTTTCAATACTTTATAGTTTTTTTAATGTTTTTTATTGCTATTTTAAACATTGTTTTTCAAATCTTATAATATCATACAATACTTATGACACACAAAATTTTTAGTTTGAGTAATCACTTCTTGATTTTTGTATTGCATTTTCCAATCAAATTGGTTTGCCATTATCAATAATACAATTTTACTCTATTTTGTAAAATTTAGAATTTGAAAAATGATTTATTCATGCACTTGATTCACTCATAATTCCACACTGTTTTTTGGCAATTATTTCTCTTTTTTCAATAACTTTGATGTGATTTGCTATAATTGGCAACAAATTAGATTCATAACAGTTACTTTATTAGAAAATTAGTAGTCAGTTCCTTTAAATAGTCATTTTTTAACTGTTTTTAGTAAAAATAGCTCTCTTAATTTTTGAAGCAAAATGTTGTATTTTATGTGTGTGGAAATATGCATTTTATGCACCACATCTGTGGGGCAAAATTTAAAAATTTTGCTACAGGCGAGTTAACATTTTTAACAGTAGCCACTTTTTGAAACATGTGGCTATTTTTTTCAGAAATTGAAAATTTTAAGCTAGTTAAAAGAACTGTAGATATTATAACATAAGGTAAGCATTTCTCAAAATACAGTAAACAAAGTTCAATTGTAAAATGAAGAAAAATGTTAAGAAGCGTGTTGAATTTTCAGCCATTTAAATTCCATATTTATAAAATAAAATAAAAAAAGTTTTTTAAAAAAAATGCACATAAGGGGCAGCTGAGCTGGAAAAGTGCGGTGACTGGCAAAACATTTTTAACTGCCATTTGTCCTAATTAGTTGCCTTCTAGGCAAAGGCAACAGTTACTTTTGCCCTAAAAAATGTATAATTCCATCATTAGTACTCATAATTTGCCCTTTTTTTCAAGAGAGAAAAAAAAGCTCAGCAATGCATTCCTCTAAAATGGCCTACAAATTCTATATAAATGAAAAATTTTAAATATTTTTAGAACTACATACCCTCATCAGGCACATTTGCTTTTTTAGATTTTGCTGCATTGCCTGCAGAGGTTGGACTAGAAGCATTTGAGCTAGGTTTAGATTCATTTTGCGTCTTCTTTACGGTGAAAGATGTCGGAATTGGAGTATCTATCAGAAAAACAGCAGAGTATGGTTCTAATGCAGTAAGCAATTGACTATTCATAGGTTTTGACAGATCATTTTCAATGTAGCAACCTAAAATAATTGGCTTTAATTGAGTGGTTTTCTTCTTTCGCTCCATTTCAAATTCTCTAAGTTTTTCTGTAAGTAGTTTTTTCCTGTTCTCTGGATCATTATCAACCTGAAATTTACCAGGAATAAAAAATATATATCTAAGTAAAAATACATCAAAGCTGTAATTCCCAAATGAGGACTAAAAAACAATGACTAACAACATCAAAAGGTTTGTAATCTAAAATACAAAACTTATATTAAAATTTTTTTTAAATATTAAAGATTAATAAGAAAATAATCCTTAAAAAAACGTGTTATGCCAGCAATCGTTTAGAATAGGTTACCAACTTTTTTTTCAGACAATGCTCACTTGGCAAGGAAAATAATTTTCAATGCCATTACCCTTAGTAGAAGAAACTTATTAACCTCCTTTTTTTATGCTGTTTAATATTTTTGATATGATACCTTATTTTATTAATTTATTGAAAATTCATATTTAATACAATGACGAAATTAGATGTGGTTGGAGTTGTATAGTGTAACTGAATAATTGAAGGTTGTGATGAAAACAGGAAAATGATAGCTGAAGATGAAAATCGGATCATAATTATAATAAAACTTTTATTTAGTATTTGTAGAGCTCGAGATACAAAATTATATTTTTTCCATAATAAGACTTAAGTTAAATAATTTTGCATAATGATATCAATAAAAACAGGCCAAGGGAGATAAATCCCCTATGAACAGCCTAATCAAAAGCCAAATTAAAAAGTGATTGAATTGTTCCTAAAAGACAGTTAGGAGCATGAGAAGAGATCCATGGTTGGAGACTTATCGAAAGATAACATAGCCAAAAATAAAGTCAACTCCCCATAATCAATATTAAATTTGAAAATAATTTGGCGAAAGTGAATTGCCAAAAAGACTGTAAGAATTAGTAAAACTATGCAACTGAAAAATTTTTTTTTTTTTGGTAAGAAATAAAGAATAAAGAGTTATAAAAAGATTTTTGTTTTTAATTTATGAATTAATGAGTCTTACATTTGTATTGGAAGAAAAAGTTGGCAGCTCCATTTATCGTTTAGAAGGAAAAAAACATTTTATATTAAATTTTTATAAAATGTAATAAAAATTACATAATTGGCTTAATTTAATTAAAATTCGATTAAGAATTATTTTTAAAGAAATAACTTCAATCGACCTCTTGTTGACTGTATTGTTGATATGAAAAAGACAAATCAATAATTTTGAGACTAAAAAGCTCCATCTTGCATATGCTAAAAACAATAAATACATCAACCTTGAAATCATCATAAAAATTGGATAATGTAACATTTTTAATCAAATTTCCTTTTCATGGAATGACTTAATTCCGAAAGAGGTAGAAATAATGAATTCTGTGGTTAATGATAAATGACGCCCGATGGCTGAGCGGTAGCGCTTCGCGCTGTCGTGCCACAGGTCCCTGGTTCGATCCTCGGGCCGGGCAAGGTTGACTCAGCCTTTCATCCCTTCAGTGGGTCGATAAATGAGTACCAAGCATGCTTGGGAACTAAACACTGGGGGTTTCGCGTTCGGCTGACCACCTAACCGGAACATCTGCTCCTGCACCCCAGAGCCCAAAGGTCAAGAAAACTGAGATGGGCACAGTAGGCCTTGGCCCTCTATGGGCTGTCCCGCCGCTGAGTTTAGTTTAGGTTAATGATAAATACCTAAATCATATATATAATCTATACACGGTTTCCGAATTTGAACTATCGAATTTTGGGATTTGCATTTGTATGATAAAAAGATAGATCAAAAATCTAAAAATTTTGGTTCTTCCTATTTACATTTTATAAATCTACATTTTAATAATTTTATTCTTAAAAAATGTAATTTCCTGAATAGACACAAAAATCAAGAATATCAGAACAAAAAGCTAAAAATCAAGATAAATAAAGACAATATATTTTCTGCCAGGAAAACCATGAAACCTACCACAATGCTCCTTAAACAAAAAATATTTATCAAATAGATGTTATAAAAACTAAATATCAACAAATGTTATTCATGTTTTATTGTTGTAAATGTTATAAATGTTATTCATGTTATGTAATTCATGTTTTTTTTTCTTTTTCAAGTTGCTTTAAATCAGGGTGTTAATGTTTATTAATAGCAATCATATGTGGTTACTTTACGTACTTCGAAACAAAAAATGTATTCACATATGGTTAAAACTATTTTAAATTCTTAAGAAATATAATTACCCTAATAAATAAAAACAATTGAATGGAGAAAAAAAATTTGAATTTTCATAGTTACAGATTGCCAGTAATTTTAATATACATTTGATTATTATCGAAATGTATCATCATAAGTCAATGAAGTTAAACAAATAGTTTTTAATTTCAAAATTAAATACATTACCTCAGTTTCTTCATCATCTTTTTCTTCTTCAGCTGAAAGATATCCATGGGGTACAGTAAACTCATCTTCTTCATAATTGTCAACATCCTCCCCTTCATCTTCTTGCTGTAAATTATAAAAATATTTATGAAGGAAAAGTATAAAAGCATAGGATCCCAACATCTTTTGGATCACCATCCACTTTACAAGATGGAAATTTTTCAACGTCCCCCATACTCTTTTTTTTTTTTTTTTTGCCTCATTTTAAATCTTTTCAAACGATTTTATATAAATTTTAATAAAAATAATTCAAATGTAAACATTGCATAAGAAGATATTCATTATATTTATAAGAAAATTCAAATGAAATATTTTTTTTTTACTTTTTACATTATAAGAAACTGAAATTAAATACGTTTGTAAATGTAATAAGGTCAACCTGCTATTCTCCACCTATATATATTTTTAGTAAAGCTTATGCTGAACTACACATTTTTAAAAATCAAATCAAAATAAAATTTTGAAAATAAAATTTTTATTTCTTCGGCCCCATTAATTCATTCAACAACGAAGAAAATGCATGAATTACACAAGTAAGGAACATTTATTTAAAATTCATTATCAAACATGTTTAAATGAGTGAAAAATAAACAAAAATTTAGTAGAAAGAATAAAATTAACTTTAATAAGACTAAGTCTTATTTTTTTTACCACATACTAAAAAAATACATTACCATTTAAGGCTTAACCATTAAAAAAATACATTACCATTAAAGAAACTAAGATTATGGTGCCGTTCAATGTTAAATTATAAAGTGATTAGTACAGTATGTTCTAGCCATTATTAAAAAGCATTTTTTTAAAATTTACTTAAAAAACCATCAACTACATAGCTAATTCAATAACAAATATTTATTATACGCTGCGTTAGAACATTAAATAATTCTTCAATACCAAATCAAAATATTTATTGATGAATCAACCTTCCAGAAATAACATCCCCTCAAATAACTATAATCTTGTTGTAGCCCCTTTAAAAGTCTTCACCGCTTACCTGAGTGTGATAGAGCTAACATTGGAAACCTATGGCAGAAAGTTAAGAAATCTAAAATTTTTGGTTAGCATGATTAAAGAAAAACTTATTTAACTACACACAAAAAAAAAATCGGATAAAGTATTTTTTAACATGTTTACTAAAATTTTAACTCCCTGCTACATTTAATAAGATTTTTTTTGTTACCAAAACCATAAAAGAATGTAGAAATTTAACTTGAAACATATTTAATGCATAGTAATGTTAATAATAAAGTTGCCAAATAGTCTTAATGTTTCGAATATTATCCAGATAAAACTAAAAGCCAATATGATAGCTTGATTTGAAACACAACATTACACTAGACCAAATTTACTCACTAGCTCTAAATATTTAGAAGCTCAAGTGGCAAGCTTGCAAGGAGTAATTTCAATCCCTGGTTCTAGAATCAAGTTAATGTTTATTTTGAGTTAATTGATGATATTGCCTCAGCATAGAATAGTTATTTTTAAGTTAAATTTGTATAAAAAAAGTAACAAAAAATTTAATAATAATTATATACACAATACATGAATCCCACCTCTGTTCCTGAAAGACTTTCACCAGGTTCTTCCTGCTCCCACTCATCATCACTATCCACATCGTAATCGAAAATGTCCTGTAACAATTAATTTCCAATAAGAATGTGGCAACATTAATTGATGTTACAAGCTTATTCCATGAATTTCAAACAAGATACATTTAATAAAATAAATAGCTGTTAACAATGCTAATATTCAAATATTCACTGCTTATACGCTAAAGCATTAAATATATAAAGATATTATAGCAGTTAATAAATATATAAGTATGGGATAAAAAAAGGAAGTAAAAGAAGTGAATGAGAAATTTCAAAAAAAATTTTATATATATATAGAGAGAGAGAGATAGAGATAGATACATGCAATAAAGTTTACCATATAAAGTTAATTATAGCATGTTTAAAAAAATATTTTATCAAAAACTTACTTGTTAAAAGTTTTACTTGTTAATTAATAACAAGTAAAACCAATTCAGACTTTGTCTAGTCTGCCAATTCAGACTTTGTGAAAATTCCACTGTATTTAAAGCAGAACTGTGGGCAGTTCTTCAGGCAATAATGTTCATAAACACGAACGGGATCAGTAAACATGTCAACATATTCTCAGACTCACTTTCGGGCCTCCAAGCACTTGAGCGGCCGAAAGACGCGGACTATCTCGTAACTATGATAAAAATGCACCACAAAAACAACATTGGCTTGTCATGGATAAGGGCCCATGTGGGACACGAAGGAAATGAAAAAGCGGACATTTATGCCAAAAAGGCCTGCGAACTAGAAAAAATCGATACTTATAATTGCCCATCAAGAAGAACCATTCGGCAGCAAAAGAGAGACGAGATTTTGGACATATGGCAGAAGAGATGGGATGAAGAACATGAACAGGGTCGACACACTTATAATCTAATTAAAAACGTAAACCCAAGAACATTAAACAGTAATTTTTATCTCAACCAATTCTTAACAGATCACGGTACCCAGCACACCTATCAGGCCCGCTTTCATCATAAAGATCCTAACTGCCCCTCATGTAACACCACCGATAACTTGGACCACATACTAACCAGATGCCCCGAATACCAAACCATAAGAACAGGCTTCTTCCCTGCCGGGTTCAATTACGAACAATTGAGACAAAATTGGAGAAACAAACAGATTAAACAGGGAATCATTGAAATAATCAAGTCACACTTCGAGAGACATACGCCGGAAATCATCGACAGATAACACTTCTCACAGTCGTCAAATCATTATGCATAACAATCACTACACAGATCGAAATCTTGCTACAGCTCGCGGATATAATGCCAATTAGACCTTACCTTATTGGAAACCGTAGATTCGTCACACAACCCCCCCATATAAAAACCATTTTTTGTTTGTGTAATCGAACATCTTTACTTCTGTTCATGATTACCACCGTGCCCATCATCTTCACATCTGTTTCAACATTCTCCTGTAAATATTATACTTGCTTACTGGGCACTGTTGCAGCGTCACACAACCCCCTCATTCACTTGTAAAATCACATTACTCTTGCTGTAATGACCATCTTTGTCTCAGTTCATAATTCCCATTGTATTTACCATCTTTAGATTTGTTCCAACCAACCACTGTATTTATTATCATTGCAATTAGACGGACTTTATGTCAATCAGACATTACCTTATGGAACATCACAAAATTACCTTATGTCTGTTGAACTGATCATCTTTACTTCTGTTCATGCTTTCCACTGTAATCATCATCATCGTATACGTCTCAACTTATTAGTGTAATTGCTATAATTGCTCACTGAGCAGTGTGGTTGCGTCGTACAACCCCTTCACTCACCTGTAAAAACCATATTTTGCCTATTGTACCGATCTTTACTTCTGTTCATAGTTGCCATTATATTTATCATCTTTCACTTGTAAAAACTACACTATGTTTGTTCAATGGATCATCTGCCTCCCCGGATGCCTCCCACAGGAGACGGGACGGGGTTAAGCCAAGCTTGTTAATTAATAAAATTATTAGCTTCAGTATGGGAAGACTTAAACAACATAAAAGCCTCAATAGAAAAAGTAAAACAGAAATTTATAACAACAAATAAGAAAATGATTACTTATCAAAACCTGAAGTGTAACTTCGTTAAATTTTATATATTTGAAAAGTGCATTAAAGAAAATGTTTGTATGGACTGGCATCTTTGGAAAAATAAAGACTGCGAAATTACAAAAATAAAGAGAAAAAAACCAAAGGAAGAAGGATAATAATAACACTAATAAAACATGCACAAGTTTAGTAACTGAAGAGTAAACAGCATATGCTATGTTAAAGCAGTGTTTAGAGCTTTTTTATCATTCTGATACCCTGAACCTTTTATATTTTGCAATAAAAGATAATTGCCCCTTTGAGCATTACAAATGCTGGAAGGAAATCTATTATGTGAACTCAGTAGCTCTAAACACACTTTACATTTTAACCTAGTAACTTCTAAGTGAGCTCTGTCGCTGGTACTTTATACAGATCACTGTCAATCTGATTCAATAATAGCTTTCTCCAACAATAGTGCACTAAGAATATTTACTAAATAACTTAATAGATGTTATAACCATACAAAAAAAGGAAACTTAAATTGTTAAATTACTTAGTAAAATTTATAATATTTCATAATGAATTATTTTTAGTGTAAGTAAATTTGCAATTTTTTCATAATTTTTTTTTAATTTACAACTTTGAAGTTTAAGAATAAGACTTAATGATTAAAAAGGATTAACTGCTCCCTATTAAAACAATAACGATTCCACAAAATATAAAAGTTATAGGATATTCAAATGAATATAATTAATATATGAATAATAATGACACATGAATAGTTATAGAATATAAAACAATAATTTTATAAATATGATACACATTAATTGAAATTAGTAATATATGAAAATGCAACAAAAAATAAACGAAAGGATCAAATTAAAAATGCAACACACAGGACCAGTTAGATGCCATATAAAAAAAATAAAAACAGGCATAAGCAACCTCATCATAACAGCTATATTTGTAAATAAGATTTTGTCCTTAAAATAAAAATTAAAATAATAGAATATTGCTTACAAAAATTAACAATATTGGTTAATAAGTTAAACACTCAAACAGCAGTTTAAGAATAATGAATAATAGCATGCATCTCAATAACATGATAAATAATATCATGCTATGTGAAGATAAAATAAAAAAGTAATTACATTCAGCACACAATTCCATTCTCAAAAAATTGAAAATAACATTTTATAAAAATGATACTTAGAGAAATTTTAATATGATTAAATATAATTCATTAGTTTAAATTAATATTTTACATTTTAGAGTTCGCATTAATAACATGAGACACTAGTTAAAGCATTTTATAACAATACAAGATGTCTTTGGCAGTTCACTTTTAATGGCATTAACATACAATATAAAATTACAAATCAAAAGTTAAATTTCTAAATGTTGAGAAACAAACTCCTAATAAAAAAAAAACAATTTTTACTGTCTCTGAAAAGAGAAAGTGTCAGAAAGTTTAAATTAAAGCTAGCAAAAAAAATAAAAAAAATTTAGACATCACGGAAACAGTAAAGGTAAGCAACAGGAAAACAGTAAAGATAAGCAAAATTAAATAATTATTAAATACTTTAGTGTTTTTTTTTTAAACTTAAAATAAAAAAATATATAAATAAAAACAAACACAAAAGCACATTATCAATGTCAAAATAATAAGTAAGTCAAATTAAACTTAAATATTAAAATTTTAGTAATTTACTGAATAACTTTAGATTAAGGTACTAAACCTACATCTTGCCCAAATGGATTGCGTGGCCGTATTGCTCTGCTTTTTTTTCGCCAAGTACCCCAATATGGTGGTCGAACATTTTCATGAAATTGTATTAACTTAGGAGTCAGATTAAGTTCAATTTCGTCAGTTTCAATAACAATTACTTCAGTTTCACATTGCTTAGATTTCCTCTTTCTCTTCCTACATTGTACATCGTGATAAGAACCACTTTTTAAATGCTGAAGATATAAGTGGGTACCACTCTAAAAAAATTGATAATAAATTAGCATAACACAAATACATTAAGACTAAAGACAAAAAAATATAGCTATTCACAGTGATATTTAGTTTTTTTTTTCAAAATGCATATATTTTTAACTTTTTATCCCCAACAGAAATTGATAAATATACTGAAGACCATGATATACTTTTCCTTTACACTTAAATACTGATGAAAATTTTCTTTTCACTTTCTTTTTTTTTTTACGAAATCAAAAAAAAATTTAATCATAGTCGGCATATTGGCTGGAAGAATACTATTTCTTCCAAAACAGTGAAAGAAACTGGAAAATACCTTAAGAAGGGAAAAAACTGGATGAAATGGAAGAAAAACGATCAATAAAATTGTTTAACAATGATTATTACAAGGTCATCAAAAATTTAAAGAAATTAAATATAGTACCAGAAATTTATAAGTTTTTCATGAGTACTTTCTTAAAAAAAATTACTAACCTGATATTATTAAATTTAGTTTCATACAGAAGTCTAAATAACATATTATCTAAGAATCAATGAGTATTCCCTCTTTACAGTATTTGATTATCACATTTAGTATGCTACTTTAATGCTACTTAATTAGCAATTGTACATTTAAGGTGAATTTTTATATTTAATATATTTGTAGTAGTGTGTGTTTAATACGTGATTTGCTAATTAAGTAGCATTAAATATAGTGATTTGAAGCCAAAATATTTTCCTGAGAATATTATCGGAGAAGGAAAATTTTATAATATTCAGAAAATTTCATTCTATAAAATTATATTCAGCAAAATTACGAAGTTTTGCAGCCACTCACAAAAAAAACTTACTTACACACAAAAAACATTTTAGTTTATAAAAAAAAATTGTATTAGTTCTGAAGATATTAAAATTTAAGGTATTTGTTCTTTGGCCTTTTAAATGAATTCTATTGCATGAACTTGAAAGTTGAATAAAAAAAATCTTATCCCATTTTCCAGAAAAACATTAACCAAGAGTCTATTTTTAATTTAAAAAAAAAACATATTTTAATTTGTTCTCAGTGTTATTATTTATGTAAATAAATAGATTATTTAATTTCTCACCTTTTTATCCATCAAAAGTTAAGACAACCATCTGCATATGGCAAAATGCTTGACTATTTAGATATTATATTTTCAATTATTATATTTTTAACTGCTTAACTATTTAGTTAAGCAGTTAAAAATATAATAATTCAAAACATATAAGCGACTAATAGTAACTGAATTTGTAAGGGATGGAACAAGGAATAAATATTGATCCACACCAATATATATGAGAATGTCAGATTGATCTGGATAAGTAAAATAAATTAACAGAGGCATAGGCTAACGGATATTTAAAATAATTTTTAAAAAATATAAATAAAGAAGCTGAGGTATTAAAAAAGACTACAGTGAAACGAGCAATCAGGAATATAATTCATCATAAACACTTATTTTAGTTGGTGAGAGCACTAGAAAAAAGAAGAAAAAGCCATCCATGCTTCAAAAAAAAATTTTAAAAAATCCATCTGACCACCGTGTTTCACTTTTCTATAAGTACTATGAAATACCATAAATATCACTAGAAAAAGAATAAAACCTTTATACACATTGAAAATGCATAACAGAAGTTACAAAGCTTTAAGGAAATATGAGACACGAAACAAATATAACAATAATGAAAATCAAAATATTTAGCATAAATAAAAAGAACAGAAAGCAAATATAAATTATGATCAGTTGCACACCTTACAACTTAAAGGAATAAATAATACCTGGTCACAATCATACTATAATTTAAAATATTGAATTTCACTAGTCAAGATGAAATTCATTTACTTTATTAATATTATTTTAATTACTTTTACTAATTATTGTTATAATAATTATTATCATTAATAATTATTATTAATAGCAATTATTATTTATTAATAATAATTATTCTAAATAATTATAATTAATTACTATTTATTATAATTTAATTTAAAAGTTTGAGCCAGGAAAACTTATGAAAAGTTTTTTTGTGTGAATATTTTAAGGTTTTTTATAACTTACAGAAATTAATATTTCAAATATACCTGTGAAATCACAGCAGTGTCAAATACTTCGCGATTAAATCTTTCTTGAGAAACTGATGGTATTACAGGAGCAAGTGTCATATCTTCAGAAATCTGAAAAGGCTTGAAGATACTATCCTGCTCAACAGGCCTCTAAATAAGTACAAAAAAATATTAATGTTTAATAAAGGAAGAAGAATTATGAAAATTTATTCCACCGCTCAACAAGCCAGTAAATAAAAATTTCCTAGTGTATATGCATTTTCATTGCTCCGTTGACATGTTTCTATTACATTAAAAAATACTTAAATTATGAAACAAAAGGGTCATTCCATGTTAAATCATACAGGATTTTACAAAAATGGCACCCACCATCTCAGATTTTGATGAAAATTTGTACACTTATAGAATTTTTTGTGCTGATTTAAAGAATATCAATTATATTTAAATCGTTTAAGAGGTTCAAAAGTTATAAGCATTTGTATTTTTGCCAAAATGGCACATTTGCCGCCATTTTGATTCATACATCAAAGGCTATTAATGATTGTAACTCACCTTATATTTGTCATAGAGCAATAATTTTTTTTAATTTTGTTCAGAATAAAATAATCTGTCATTTAAACACATTTGTTTGCAAATAATTATCTTACTTATTTAGTAAATGGGTTTGTTTTGCAGTTTTTTGATCAACGGAGTTGAGTAACTTCAGGAGATTATTTCTGGCAACTCGCCCCCTTCAATTTCAAAAATATTTTATTCAAAGATAGTTGAAAGTGCAAACTAACATCTGATACAAAAATTTTGATGGGCCGTTCACTCACTTTTTAAAAAAAATATATTTTTCTTATGAATCATTATGCGTTAAAAGTACTCGTAGTTTGATGATTTATAGTCCTTAATTATAACTAGAGTATAATAAAATGATATAAAAAAATGTGAATGGTAGAAAAATATGTAAAATAAAGTAATCATTTATTAAATTTTTTTTTTTCTTCTTTCTTTGAGCCCTCAAAAAAGAAAAGAAAGGAAAAAATTTTAGAATGACCAAAATTTCACCTTTTTTGCAAATTAATTTATCCAGAATCATATAGCTTTGGTAAATGAGAGGGATTAGAATCTAAAAAAATATAAATAAAAGTTTCTCTGAAAGAGTAGAGGGCAGTACCAAATAATAAAAAGCAGCCATTAATTTTTTTTCTTTTTTTTTTTTAATTGAACTAACTTTGATCTTTATGGAAGGAGAAAACCATTGTACACTTTAATTTAATTCAAACATTTTGTTTGATTCTAAAATGTAATTGAAGACCAAATTATGAATATTGATAGTTAGTTTTATCCTTTTATTTGTCACAATGATTGTTATGGTAATGAGATACTCCTAAAAAATTTCATTTGAAACACTGATAAAGTTAAACTATTTATTATAATTATATTGAAACGAAATGATTTTATATCACTAACTATATATTAATTTGTATGCTCTTATTTCATCACTAATACCTGCAGGCCCTTTTTATTTTCTAAGACTTTTATTATAATTATATACTTCCAATTTTTTTTAAAAAAAATACTTCTGAATAGAAAAAGAAAAAAATTCTGAAAACTATTGACACATTCCATCCCTACCTTCCCAAAAAAGAAATTTGACTAATCAGAATGTATCATCTGCCAGAACATTTCTGTTTGTTCCAATCAGAATTGAGTGTCATGTAAAATTTATTTTCTTTCAAATCAGTAAAATTGTACTTCTTTCATTCATTTAGAACAGAACAGAAATAAATAAGTTTTCAAAAGTTTTAAATGTATCAATTTGATATTTAAAAAAGAGTTTTATTATGAAAACCCAAGTATTATATAGTATTGGATTAACTTTGAAAGATTTTAAGTGCAGTTTAAACTCACAGAAGATTTTAGAACTTTCTTCAGAGAATATAGAACTTATTTAATTTAGAAGCAATTTAGATTTTAAGGAAAGTTCAACTATATGCCTCATACATAAGGAGTACCTCTTGTATCAGTTTGAAATATATAGGGTGACCCGGGGTAATTCACAATCACTCTGCTTCTGGGGTAAATAATGATCACCTAAGTTTTATTTTAAAAAAATTATTTCTTTTTTTAAATTTGAGACATGCACAAGAATGTTTGAACATTTTACTAAAGTACAATTACATTTACTTAATTATAGCTTTTTGTTTAATCTAACAAAATAAGTATCTTTTAAACTGCTTTCTATATTTTCCATTTCAAAGATGGGTTTCAAAATGTGCACATGTCTGCAAAGATCCCCTCCTTCTCCTAATAATAAATATTTTGAGTTACTTTTTTTTTCTTTGATATAAAAATAGTGTAAGCTTTTGTTTAATTGTTTCACATCTACTGTAAACATTATAATTAATTACAGGAAACTATATCAAATGTTGCTCCCCATGGGGTAATTATTGATCACTGGGGTAATTCCTAATCATTGTCATTTCTTTTTATAAATAGTATTAAAAATAGCTAATTGTCTTTTCTTAAATGGTAGTTCATATTTAAGTGGAACAACCATTAAAATATATTTTAACTGTAATCCCAAAATTTGTTTTTAACTGTAAACAAGACAAATGTGTTCTGATTTGCACCATTTCTGGTTTGCCTTACCTTGCTTCTATCTTAATTTTATGTGTGAACATTGTTAGAATAATTTTTAAGTTTATAAATTTGCCTAATATAAATATGGTGAGAAATTATAAGACTAAAAAAGATACTAAGCCTCTAGAAAGCAAAATTAGTGAATTTCTTTTAATGATTGAAAATGAAATTTCAGTGTGAGAGCTACTGTCAGAGCTGTTAACATACCTTACTTAACTTTACACTCTCACTTAATGAAGTTAAAAAATCCAGCAAAAGTAACTTATGTGGGAACTCTTTCTTACATTCTAACAGAGCATGAGAATGAGTTGGCTGCTTGCCTAAAATGTACAGCAGGATGCTAAGATTTTTGGAAAATTTAAAGTGTTAATCTTTATTCTTGCTTTTAAATAAATCGTTTTATTAGTTGCTTAAACATCTCTTTGGTTTATTTGTTTGATCTTGATGTCTTATTTGTTAATTACCATTGTATAATTATTTCTGAACAACCCCTTTACTATAAAAACTGGTGATCAGTAATTACCCCAGAAATGATCAAGAGAAGGGGTAATTCCTGATCACTAAAAATTTAAAATCTTTTAAATTAGATTTATCAAATCTAATTAGATTTTCAAACAAAAGAAGGTAGCATAGAACTCATCTCATATAGTCTCAAACTTCCAGTAAATATTGAAATTCTATCTTGAATAGTTTTTGCACAAAATAGATGTTTGCATTTTTTGATGAAGAATTTTCCCCCTACATATAAAAAAAAAAAAAAAAAATTGTGACTTATTTGATTCTCCTTCTAATAAGACCAATAAAGTCTCCCTTCATGTCATAAGTGTAGATCAGGCTAAAACATACAGAGCTAAATTGCAAATATCAGCAATTCCTGGCCAGAAATTGTGTTTGTCTTGTTCAGTCTCAAATTTTTACCTTTCTTCTTTTCTTTTTTGAGGGGGGGGGGAAGGCTCAAAGAAAGAAGAAAAAAATAATTTAATAAATTATTACTTTATTTTACATATTTTTCTACCATACACATTTTTTTATATCATTTTATTATACCCTAGTTACATAAGGACTATAAATCATCAAACTACCAGTACTTTTAACGCATAATGATTCATAAGAAAAATATTTTTTTTTAAAAAGTGAGTGAACCGCCCATCAAAATTTTTATATCAGATGTTAGTTTGCACTTTCAACTATCTTTGAATAAAATATTTTTGAAATTGAAGGGGGCGAGTTGCCAGAAATAATCTCCTGAAGTTACTCAACTCCGTTGATCAAAAAACTGCAAAACAGACCCATTTACTAAATAAGTAAGATACTTATTTGCAAAAAAAAGTGTTTATATGACAGATTACTTTATTCTGAACAAAATAAAAAAAATATTATTACTCTATGACAAATATAAGGTGAGTTACAATCATTAATAGCTTTTGATGTATGAATCAAAATGGCGGCAAATGTGCCATTTTGGCAAAAATATAAATTCTTATAACTTTTAAACCCATAAACCGATTTAAATATAATTGATATTTTTGAAATCAGCACAAAAAACTCTATAAGTGTACAAATTTTCATCAAAATCTTAGACGGTGGGTGCCATGGCTGGATGAACTGACATGGAATTACCCAAAACAAAAATTATATTAGAATTTATATGAATAAATTAATAACTGTAATTGTTGCTTAAAATAAATCAAAATTTTATCATTATGTTTTGATAAACAGATCAAATGTTACATATGTACTATAAGTAGATCATTACATTAAATATTAAAAGTAAAAATAATTAAAATGAATGAAGATTAAATAAATTCGGAGAATTACAGTGATAACACAGTCCAAATCAAAAATACCTAATCAACATATTTTTTCACTTGATTATCGGTAACTGACCAGGGAACTGCCAATAATAATTTCATAAAGGTATGAGTTAGATTTCAGCACTCCCCAGTCACCATCAACTATGCTACAACAGTTCAATATGCACTGCAGTAATAATTTACATACAGTAGAACCTCGATTATCCGAGCTAATTGGGACCGCTAGTACCTCGAATATCAGAAATCTCGGTTAATCGAAAATGTATAAAAAAAACTCGCCGTGCTCGCAAATACATCTTTTGAAATAAAAAACATTTATAAATGATAAAAATAAACATATATAAAGTTATGTTTGGCAGTTCAACAAATTTAAAAAGGAAATTAACTACAAGTAATAAATTTTAAACAGAAAATGGAATTTTTTTCTTAATTACTTTTGAAATGAAACTAAAAGATGCATTTTTAAAAATAACACAAATCTCAAGAAAATCTTTTATTTTTTACGAATTTAATATACATTAATTTGTTAATTTTGCATTACCATTTCCTAAAATATTCTGTTACCTTTGTTGCAAAAGTACATTGTTACAAAAGTACAGTCCGATAACACATTGCACCTGGTGGAAACAAAGCATTGTTTGCCACTGTTGACTTCTGAGGGTGCTGTAATATTTTTTGGAAGTTAAGTATTTTCAAGGGCAGTAGAGATGGGCAGTGAACTAAAATTTGTGGTCATTTTTTAGGGCTTATTCCACTTAGGAAAATTTGCCATAAAAAAAATTACCATAAAAAAATTATCATAGGATATTCCTATGAGGTTTTGCCTACGGTAAAATTTTGCCATACACCTTTGCCTTCAATGTAGCGCAATTGTTGCCATAAGTGTATATGGGAAATAATAATTGCCATAAGTGTGTGGTAAAAGTATATGGTAAAATGTTACCAAAAGCAATGTCTTGTAGGAATATTCTATGGTAATTTTATATATACGTAGCAAATTTTTGCCATAAATTTATAGTTTTTAAATTATTTACTATAGTTCATTAATTATGGTTTATTAATTTATATGTAGAACAAGAATGAACAAGAGTTATTGAATTACAAAGACCACTTTTCGCAATGATTATACTACAAGAATATCAGGGGAAAAAACATACTTTATTATCGGCTGGATTAACAGAAACCTCGGTTAATCGAAGCTCAGTTAATCGATGTTCTACTGTATTTAACAAAATATAAACTTATTAAAAATAAGATAATTTTTTAAAAACTAATTCTTTTAATAATAAGCACATCAATCTTTTGTTTCAATTTTAAGAAATTAACTACTTTATGTTTTAAATCAATATTTATCAAATACAAGCTAACATATGATTTTAGTCGTAAATTTAAAGGAAGACAATATCAACAAATAATAAAAATTAAAACATTAATCTATATTCATTAGTCTCAAGCTTAAATAAAAAGTCATTCCATACTTGTACAGGAGGGGGAGAAACATTTTCTTTGACAAAAAATTTTACAAAAGCAGCTTTTGCTTTTTCTTTCTTTTCTTTTTCTTTTTGTTCCTGCAAAGATAAAGAAAGAGAAATTAGGCTGAGCAGAAAATAAGATTAAATACACATAGTAGATAAACACAGTAATAAATACCAAAAGGCTAGTTATGAGTTTGCATCCAGCAGAAAAAATTTCATCGAAATATTTTCTACATATTAAAAGAAATGTATGTAAAATTTTTAAGACATTTAAAATGATTTAGGGTGTTCATAAACACACAGAAAAAATTTCCATGACTTTTCCAGACTGATTTTATCAAATTTCCCTGTTTCTTTTCTAGAGGAAAAAATTTTAAAATTGATTTCTAATTTATGCCTAATTCTTATACATAAAATGTACTATGAAACACTTATATTGCTATTAGAGCTAAAATTAAACTTTAAAAAGTTATAACAAGAAAAAAATTTTAGGAAAATATTGGAAGCTTTAGTACTTCAAACTGAAATTAATTTTTCAAACTTTTCAGAAATTTTAATGTAATTTCCTGACATTTCCTAGATATTTTCCAGAGTTATTAAATTCTTTAACCTCACATATCAGTATCATCTTTAACTTTACATGTTTAATTTTCAACCTATTAATATATTCCTTTAAGAATATGCCTCTGACAAAAAACATTTTTAACACTTCAACTTTTGACTCTAAGCTACCTAAAATGGTTTCTAGGACTGCATGATGATTTCTCTGTATGTTTTACAATTAGAAAAAAAAACTGAAAAGAAACTTTTACAGACATTTGGACAAAACTTGGGTATTTTAATGATTAATATTAAAAATATCTAAGTGACAATGAAGTAATTGATTGATTTGAAACACACATATAAACCTTTCAACTTGTGTGAGTTCTAAGTTTTTAGCTTTAAAACAAACAAAATATTTTGAAATATATGAAAATAAAATTGCTTGATTTTCACAAAACTTTTTTTTCTTCTAATTTTAAAAGTAAGAAATCAAGAAGCAATTGATACATCTCCATTCAAACCTACCATTAAAAATGGGTAGAATATTTTTTAACACAATTTCAACCGATTTAACATAGTGATTAAGTGACAGTCACTTTAACACTGATCATACTTTTACAACATCGAACAAATATTTAAATAACTAGTAACAAAACTAATTTAATTTGAACTTCCACATTCCTAATCATGTTGTGTAAATTTTTAAACAGATACACCTGTTTCAAGCAATAAGATGCATTAAATTTTGTAGCCTTAAATCAAACCTTATTTTAATAAATTTGATTAATAAAATATCAAAAGCATGGATTTGTGCTACTGGCAATAAATTTACATCTTCAGAAAAAGACGACTGCAAAGTGCAAAAATTATTTCATTTGACTTAGTGCTTTGAAACAAGTAAAATCAAAAAATGGCAAACCAGATACAATGGAATGAATGAATATTTCCAAACTTAGGCACACATCATAATAAAGAGAATCAGGGATTCAAACATTTCCCCCTCGACTATAAATCAGGGAAGAAAAACACAGTGGTTTATTCCAATTTAGTACATGCACAAGAAAAGTGACGACATAGAAAGATGACAAGAAACGACCCTTTTAGAATCCTTGTGACTAATTCTGTCCCAAAAATACCCCTAAAGGAAAAAATTACTTAGTCATTAATTTTCAACATCAGCTTTCTTACCTTTCTTTGCTGTGAGCAAATTTTTTACTAACATTATCATTTTTAAAAAATACAACATGAAATATAAAGATATTAAATCATATAAACAATAACAATACAACAAAAACAATAATTTTCACTTATTCTAAAGTAGAAGATAATTTTTACTTTTTCAAGTTCAGCTTTCTTTTTTTCTTCTTCAGCTTTTTTGCGTTCTTCTACCTGCTTCAGTTTTATTTCTTCCATTTGTTTTTTCTTTTCAAGCTTAGCCCTAGAAAGAAAGTAATAATTGACCTGAAGATTTAAGATTAATTTTTATTGTAAAAAAATAAAAAGCATAAATAACTACAGTGTATATACTGTTTGTCTAAGATCTGCCAGACATTCGTCTGGAGCTGTGGCGGTGACAATGGTAACGAGGTACGATTATTTCATATAGGAGTGCGGGGTCACTCTTTAGGACTGGTTTTCGGCCAGAGAAAGAAGACCTCTTTCTTCGGTCTATTGTGTTAGTCCTACAGTGAAGAGAAATGAGCTTTTGCTCCTGAAACATCGTTCAGTAGAGCGTTCCATTCCTTTTCTTTTAAATCTTTTCTCTTTTTCAAAAGATTCTGCTTAAGAAAAAATTTTCAACAAATTTATTTGTGTAGTAAATTTTATATTTTATTTTTCCTCTTTAAACTTTTTTGAATTTTGAGAAATGCCTTTTAAATTTAAAAAAGGTGAAGTTTTAAAGTCACAAGCACATAAAATTGTGCACAATGTGTTTGAGTTTTTTGCTAATGAAGCTAAGGAAAAAGCCCTTAAATTACCTCATCATCAACCATCTCAAAGAGCATGTCTGGCTACTGGAGTGTCAGACTTCACACTTAGAAAAATAAAAAGAGAGGTTTCTTGTTTAGGAGAAGGTGTGTTGCGCACTCCCGAAAAATTATTGTTATACAATGTTTTATTAATAAATAACTCATCTATAAATTTATCATACATAGTAAATTGGTTATTAAGAAAAAAAATTTGCTAATAAAAAACAGTTAGAATTAGTTTTTTAATAAATAGTGAGAAAAACTATACAGATTACATTAAAATACGAGTAAGAAAACGTAATTTAAGCAAAAGCGTTTTAAAGTTTGATGGGTGCTGATAAAAATCATCGTTGATAATTTTACATTTCATCCAAGTTGCGGTAACTTGCTTTCAGTTTAAAAAAAAAAGTTAAAAATAAAAACAAAGATATTTAATATTTCTCTGGCACAGATAACATGAACTATTTCTATTTTCAGCAAAAGTTTTATCTTCTTTTAAAATCAGAGTTAATAAGTTTAAGCGCTTCACTTTTTCCAGAAAATTCAAATAATAAAAGAAATTAACTGCTTTAAAAAATGTGCAAGTTTAGAAATTAAACCATCTAACAATCAATGAACATTCATAATAAATAACATAAAATTAAAAAGTAACATTAAAAAAACCTGTACTACCCTTCATGTCAGAATTTGTTCACTTTTTTTCTTCTTTTTTTCCTTCGTATTTAAAAAATAGCAATTAAAGAGAATCATTTTTAGTAAGAAATATCCATGTGAATCTTAAAAAAGTTCTTGAATCAGATTAAATAAGTCTCCTACTGGTGGCTGAATCAGCCTATCTGGTATACTTCCCATACTAGCTATCATCGAAGCTACCCTCCCTAAAATGCCCTCTTCTTGTTTCCATAGCACCAGACTGCCACAGACTTTGTGGCGGGCAGAGTACCTATCTTAGACAAACAGTATGTCAGCACTCCGTATAACAACTATTCTACAAACAAAAACGAATGTTATAAAGTCAATCAAATATAAAACCATAGTTATAAAGCCGGTATGTTATAAAGTTGTGGTTATATTGAGAGTGCATAAAAATATTTACTCTTACATAACAATTATTAGATAGCACAAAATACACTTAGAAAAAATATTTCCTTACTTTTTCCTGATTTCCCAAGGTTGATTTTATCAAATCTCCCTGATTTTTGAATTGGAGGCATAAATGTTATTTTTTTCAGCTATGCCTTATTTTTATTCATAAAATGCATTGCAAAATACTGATATTTGCTATTAAGGGTGAAAGTAAATTATTTTTTAAAAACAAAATTATTACAAGACCAGTATCTTTGGGAAGAATAGCAGACTTTTAAGTATGTCACACTCAAAATAATTCATTTTCATTGACACTTTGGGTATTTTAATTTTTAATTCTTTGACATTTATTTGATTTTTGCCAATTGATAAAATTTTCCAACTTTTCCTTGTTGTATGCCACCCAGCAAAATCAAGGCTTTCCATAAATAAGATTTAGATATATAATATAAAAATAGTAATAACTGAAATTGTTTTATTTTTCTTCTTTCTATATGTTTATTAGAGAGCCGCGATGGCTCAGGGAATAGAGTGTTCGCCTTCCAATGAGGTGAACCAGGTTCAAATCCGAAGGATGGCTGGTCGATACGAATCCAGCTTGCATCGATCACAGTGGTGATGTGAAATATCCTCAGTGGTTGACGGATCATGAGTTAGAGTCCCTTTACCACCAGGATAGTCGTGGGAGGTTCTTCTCCAAGCAACGCAAACGCGGGCTAGTTCCATCAAAAAGTCCTCCATAAAGGCAAATTTCTCCCAATACTTGAACCAGGAGTTCCCCTGTCATCTGGATTTGGTTCAAAATTACAAGACTATGGGGTTAAACATTAGTAGTCGTAAACCGGAAAAATTGGGTGGCGGTTCAATGACGGTTAAAAATAAAATATATGTTTATTAGCAAAAGTACCTTTTAAAATAATATATTGTAATTGAAAAGTTCATAAAAAAAATATGCTGGTTAGAGGCAACAATTTTCAATAAATAGCATGCATCAAGACAATTGCAAAAACTGCATGTTTAAACTTTAAGTTAGGGAGACATTTCCCAGAAAGAGTTAATTGAGGCATTTCTCACACTGTCGGTTGGAGCAGGGGGTAGAGAGTTTGATTCCGGCACCCAATAAAACCGGCACATATGCACAGTAAAAAGCACATCAAATCTACTGTGGCTGAAAGTCCCCTTGTTGGTTGTGATACGAATGTTTGAAGCGTCTGACCAAGGTCAAAATTACGGAACATTCCTACCGTGGCCGCTATATAATTGAATCCTAAAAATGCAACAAGATGGTTGGGTGATGTGTGTGGTTGTTATAGTGGAAGGGTCCTTATAATGGCTCATACCAAAGAATATAGGCAGTCTTTATATATTTCAGGGCTCAAATAAACTCAAACTGTTAGCTCAAAAATACATTTCTGAATGAAAGTTTTGCATGCTCAAAAATCTTTTATGAATGTATATTATTGAAAACACATAAATGTACTTATAATTAATCTGTTGGGAAAAAAAAAGATACTCAACTCTTCTCACAGCCCTCCTTAATTAAAATGCAATAGATCATAAAAGAGGTATGTTACTCCTTCATAATAAGTATCATAACTATAAACTTTATTTTTGAATTGTAGTTAAGTTAGGAAAAAGCATAATATGAGGAAAGATCTGGTTGATAAGTCAAAATATTTCCATCATTAACTATGATCGATTTTTGTAAAGATGCTTAAAAAACTCATTAGAACAAGATTCTTGCCGACCACTATTGAAATATGCAGCTTATCTGTAGAAGGTGCAAATAAACGGACTAATCTATAATTGACTATTGATGAATCTTTAAAAATTATTCAAACAGACGGACATTTTTCTTTTTACTTTCAAATTTTTTAATATATAGATTTCTACTTTGTCCATTCAGTATGCATATACTTGTGAAAAATAGTCCTACTTTTTAACATACAACTACTTAACAAAAAACACTTTAACATACTTACTCTAACATTGATTGGCGCATTCGTTTTTGAGCCTCCCTTTCTTCTTGTTTTAGTTGTTTTTCTTTCTCCTCTTGTTCTTTCTTTTCAAGTCTTAGTCTTTCTTTTTCTTTCCTTTCCTCTTCCTTAGCTTTTTTCTCCATTTCCTTTTGAAGTTTGCGCTGTTGCAATTCACGCTCACGTTCCTGTTTTTTAAGGAGCTAGAGAAAATAACAATGTTTTCTTACAAAATGCAAAGTATTACAATTAAAACTTTAAAAACTCAACTTTTATAATATTTTAGCTATTAATGTCTTTATGTAAAATTAAAATGTGCCTACAATGACAAGAAAGTAATAAACACTGATTAGCTGAAATATTAGCCAAAGTTACCACCCAATTTAATTGCACTAACATGATTTCAATCCCAATTAATTTGCTTGAGTTTGATTGAATTTAACATTAAAAAAAACAATGGCTGAACATATCACTAAAGGTCAAAAATAAATTTATCATGTAACATGGTTAGTACAGATACCAAATTCAAAGAGTACTTTAAACAAAACGTGACACAAAAACAATGAAAGCAAATAAATAGAAGAAATAAAAGATGCAAATCTCTACAAGTCTACATTTTTCTCCCTTTATTGTTATTGGCATTGACATTGTTTAGCTTTTCTTTGTTGTTGTTCACCTACCTTTTAATTGCCAGAGAGGCTACTAGACTATATAAAAACTTGTAGAGTGTTCAGAATTTTTAATAATTTAAGATGGCTGCCTTTCTCCGTAGCAAACTGGTTTCTTTGTGTTATTCAATAGAAAAATGGTGCAAGGTTTAAATTTACAAACTTGCTCTAATGGTAAAAATTTTAAGAATTCAATTGATTTCAATAGAATTTAAAATATAACTTACTATTTCTTGTTGCTTCTTTTCTCTCTCTTCAGCTTTCACTTTGGCTTCTTCAGGGGTCATTCTCTGCAAAAATAAAGTATTCTAAATTAAAGAAACAATGGAAATTAAAATAATCATAATGTACAAATATATTCTTGATGTTAATGGTATAATAAGGAACAATTTTTCACTTAAGATGCCATTAAAACAGAAAATTAGTTAACAAGAAATCCTAGATTCAAAGATGATCTAGGTTATAAGATCCTAGATTATATGATAAAACTAGATAACATGTCCTATAGTAGCCTTAGTTCAAGATTATAGAAACACAAAACATATTTAACAAGTTCAGTTTAACTTACAGAAAATGAGTGTGTGCTGTTTTAAAATATTCCATAAACCATTATCATTCACATTTATACCTGTTTATCATAGCCCTTACAACTTTTTTTATTGAAATTTACTAATTAAGAGAAAATAAATGTTTCCAACTTATTTTCTCTTAACTAAAAGAACAAAATCAACACTTTAGCTTGAGATGAGAAATTTTCTTAATGAAAGACAATATTTAATTAATTGGGTAAATTGGTAAATTCTGTGATGGCTCAGTGGTTAAGGCACTGGGCTGTCATTGAGAAGAGCTAGGATTCGATTCTCAGTGAAGGTTTTGAAGCCCACTCAGCTTCAGATCGATGGGTACCAGCTTGTCAGGGAAGTAAAGGCAGTCTGACTACATTGCCACAATCATGCTGTTGGTCCCGAAATCATGTAGCCTTATCTTCCATGATTAGGGAATGCTTTACTTTAAATTGGTTAATTAATTATTCTTTGAAAGTAGGCAGAAACTTATTATTACCTATATTGGACAGACATAATTTGTTAAAATAAGTATTAGTGTCAATTTACATTAACTCTTATTTTTAGTAACTTTCAGAAATTAAAAACTGGGTGCTGCAGACAGAACACAATATTTTACTTCATAACAGCTGGTTTTTAATTTTTGAAAGAAATTTGAAATTTCTTAATGTAGTGTAAATGATATATTAACTTATTTTTACAAAAATTATTATTAAAAATCTTAAAATTTTATTTATTTATTTGTTATTTTAACCAAACCATATAAATTTGTAATAAAAACTTTAAAAAAATACAAACTTTTCTTTTTTTAGTGTTAATTTTCTTTTCTTGTTCATTTGCATCTCCAGGCTTAAGTTCTGAAGCAGCTTCATCTACTTTTGCAGAACCATTTTTTTCAACGATACTTTGGTTTGCTTCAGATAAACCACTGGTGTTCAAGGCATTAATTGAACTATTCAACAGTGACGAATTTAAATCATCTGAACTTGTTTTTGATGAATCATCTTCGCCAGATATATGCTCGTCACTTCCAACTGATTTCAATTCATTATCAATAATCACATTAGCGTTATTAAGAGAAGCAACTTGTTCACTTTTTAAAGTGTTCACATCTTGATTCTCCTTGCAGTCACTCGCAGATACATCAGAATTTATTGATGCATCAAGAACTTGAATATCCTCATCACTATCTTTATCACATACTTTAACATTTTTAGCTTCAGTTGGGGGAGGTATAGGTGAAGAAGCTTTCCGTTTTCTGTTACTAGCGGCTAAGAATAATGTCTTGATGTCTACATTTTTAAATGGTGTAGAACCTAAAAAAATATATATATATATTTACTTATAAATTATAGATTATTTAAATACTTAGATACTTTTAAAATAATGTTAATGACTTTATTTAGGCATAACAAAGATCAAATTACCCTTTATAATAATTAACGAAATTTAAAAACAGAAATTATATTAATTGAATAAAAATGTTAGTTTACTTTGAAAGTTCATTGAATTTTTTGGGTTAATCATTTGGGTTGTCATTTGTTCTCATTTATAATTTTATAAAAGTGAGCCAAATAAAATTTTCATTTTTATTTTAAACTAATTGCTTTTAAAGGGCAGTTGGTACACACAAATTTAATGTGCAATTTCTTATAATTTATCAGTAACTTAGAATTGAAAAATATACAGAATTACACATTTAAATTTTTTACAACCATGGAAAAAAAAACCTTTTGGAGCTTGGTTAATTTCACAGAATCTCCATTTCAAAATTTTGTGGTATTTAATCTCACAATTTAAGACACACTTTATAAATATAATTACTACCTTTAATCATGAACCCTGCTTCAAAACATAACTAATTCAATTGCATATATCTCATTCTATAGCAGCTGGAAAAAATAATATATAAAGCTTAGGTGTCAGATCACAATAATCCCCAAAACATTTATTTTTAGTAGTTTTTAATTACTGTCTATTAACTACAAACCATGCTTTGATTTCCAAAAATAGTTTTCACCTAAAGGTTACCTATAAGAAAACGTTGCATGAAATTTTCCTTAATTAATTTTTATTGTATAATGCAAGTCTTGATGTTTGCTTACCATAAGAACTATTATCATGGCTTGCAAAAGTCCCCACAGTATTATATATATATATATATCAGGGTTGGCAAGTTTTTGATACATGACGGTTTTTAACATGGTTTTTACCGTCATGTCAAAAACCCATAGTTTTGGTAAAAGTGTGTTTTTATTTGAGTTTAACTGCTTATAATTTAAAATTAATTTATTTTTGAGCAATAAAATTAGAAAAAAAGTTGTTAAAAGATATTTAAGAACAGATTCTTGCTTTTTCCCAACATGAATATATCAAAACATACTATTTGAAGTAAAATATTAGGATATTAAACAAAATTTTCAACATTTCCTAACATCATTTTGTTTGGCATATTACATTACTGAAGAATGTCAAGATTGATTACTTTCATTCATAAAATCTTGCTATGAGAAACACATGTACACATAAACAGAAAGCCTCATAAAATAAACTTTTCTTATCAATTTTGCTTTCAATATTTTACACAGAAATGAGACATGAAAAAGCCTGGGAAATACTTTTAGAGTTTCAATATTTCTGTATCAATGTATATCCTTCTATAAGAATACATGTATATAGTTGCAAAATCAATAGCAATCATTTACAACATTCATTTATAAAGGCAATTATGTGAAAATAATATATTGTCTGCTATATGCCATAAATTAAAGAAAACAGTAGGTTTTAGACCAGTGTTTCCCAACCTTTTTTGTGCCATGACCCACCTAAGTCATTCTAAAATTCTTATGCCCCCCTATTTAACATATACATAATTTTTAATATTAAAAAATTTAATTGTTCACTGAAGAAACTTAAATGAAAAACTAAAATTCAAATAGTTTTAATAAAGATTTTTCTATAATAATTTAATACTTTAATTTAGTGAGATCCTTGCTACACAGAGATTTTATGTTAGGTTCCAATTTGGTTAGCTTCAGTCTCAAGTATCCCGGTTGTGTTATATCCAGACTATTTCTCTTTTTAGAAGTAAAAAAATAATTACAGCACTAAATCCAAATTCAGCTAAATATGAAGATGCAGGGTTCCCACTCTATGATGAGATTGAAATTCAAGGACTTTCCAGGACTTTTCAAGGACCTCAACAAAATTTTCAAGGACCTTAATCTAAGACCAATTTTAAAAATTATTCTCTTCTATTTTACTAGAAGCAACAATGCTTGATGCGGCAATAATTAATTTCAAATATAATACCTAAATGCTTTGCCTATATAGAGAGAAGAAAGTATATGTATTATGGACTAAAATTTATATTTTTTTGAAAACAACGCTACTGGTTTTACATATTAATTCACAAAATCATTTTCAGCACAATCTATAACTAATGGTAATGAGGTGTTAATGGTGAAGAGGAGATTTCTTTAATCCTGGGTATTTCCACGTGATGGCTGCACGAGAGAGACAGAACTAAATCTTAGGTATTCCATAACCCCCTCCTCTCCTCTATTAAACATCGTTTCTGAAATTATTCATCCATAATTTACACAACCTTCTCTAAATGTTATGCAGCAACAATTCTTTCTGAAAATAAAAATTAGAAGGAACATATCCCATTTTCACCATGTTTAAAAGCATTATTCGTTATGTGTAATCCACAACTGCCAATGAATATGACCTGGTGGGAATATTTCTCTTTTAATTCACACTGAAGCTTCTAATAGAATTTCCAATTGACATAGGGTCCATCCATGGATAATTGAAGTATTTTAGAGAGCTTTTAACCATCATCCATGCATTTGTAAAAAGAGGACAAAATATTTTCTGCAGTTCCATGACCCATAAATTGGGAGGTAAGATACTTAGTGCAAACTTTATTATCAATTCCTTACCATAATGTCCATCTGCTTAGATTGTAGAGACTGATTTAACGTCTCATCAAAGAGTACAGTGTAGCAATCAACATTCTTCAGCTCATTTATAAGAATCCCTTTGAAGTATAGTGCCAATCCAAAGGAGCCCAAATAGGCTCACTTTGTGGCACTACAAAAAAATTGTCTCGCTATACAGCTATCAGCAAACATTTTGGAGAACAATTTACTAATCCCTTCACAGGAGTTACATGAATAATTACTAGTGATGCACTTCAGACTCCAGAGAATTTCAGCATCAAGCACATTCCTTTTGACCAGATAAGAAGACAATGTTACCTCGGCCACTAAAGTTTCTGTTTCACATGGGGCACACGATGTTGAAGGAGTATTTACACCAGATGAATTAGATGTTGATGTCTTTGGAAAAAGAGAACTCAGGGCATGAGACTGCTTTTTTGTTTTACCTTTCTTTCATGTGTGATTTCAGAGCAGATTCTTCCATTTTCGCGATATCGATCTCCTTCATGCATAATCGGCACTTGGCTCTGAACTTCTTTTCGGGCATCGATAAAATCCATTCTTTATAAGCTTGATTATCCATCCATTGGGGATTAAAATAGCACTTCCCAGGCATAACTAGTCTAAACTACATAACACAAATACGAAGCCGTGCCTTTGCGAATACGCTTTACAATAAAGTTTTGAAATGACGCAAACGTAAGGACAAGTGCGGATGGTAAAACGGCAAATTTATTGAAAACTACAAGGTACATATTGTTACGAAATTCGAGAGTATTCCAGTTTCGATAAGAAAAAAGAAGATCTAAGCATATGCGACAGAAGATGAAGTGGAGTCTCGCCCCGAACGCATTGATTGTCTGCTGTGCTCCGCGCGCTTGGCAGACACCAAGACGCTAGGCCCGGTTAGAAACGGTGGCGTTAAAAACCACGTGAGAGAGCTCGGGAACAAAACAGAAAGAACGAGAAAGATCCGCGGGTGTTTTATAAAAAGGGCCGTCGGCAGTATTGGACAAATTCAAGGACCTATCAAGTTTTTCAAGGACCAAAGACGTTTTTCAAGCACTTTCAAGGACCTAAATTTAACAAAACAAAATTCAAGGACTTTCAAGGACTCTCAAGGACCGTGGGAACCCTGAGATGGAAACGGTAGCAATAGTTTTCTTGCACATTTGGTTGAATTTGGGTATTTGATTTCTGTTTCCTCACAAACCCACAAATAAAGTTTTAACTGACTTAACATTTTGCATTTCTGCGAGTTCTTCTTGATACTGCATATTTGATATATCAGAAAAATCCACTAACTTTGGCTGCATCATCCATGTTGGAAAATCAATTTGTTTTATATCATAGAATCTTTCTTTTAAATCAGCCGATAGAACTTTCAGTTGATTGACAATAGCAAGTAAAGCGGTATTATTTACTTCCCATTTTTGGAGCCAATGACACTGTTCTAAGTTTTTGTTGTTAATATATATCTGACGTAACTCAATAAGGGTAATGAAACCAAATATCTTCGCTTTTGCATCAAAAACAGTTTTATTTGTTCCTTGAAGATACTTATTTAATATATTTATTTTTTTCAAAGATATCGGCTGAGTAACTCACAAATGCTTTATCATCGACTGTTAACAGATACTTCATTTTAGGTTTGTCACTTAAAAAATCACTAAGAATATCAAACAGTTCCATAAATCTTTTCAAGCAGTTCCCTTTAGAGAGCCATCTTACTTCAGTGTGAAGTAAAAGTCTCACATGGTCTGCATTTTGTTATTCACAAAATAGCTTGAAGAGAAGCTCACATTGGGCATTAGCTTTAATATCATTGATGCACTTTATTACTTAATGTAGTACTTCATTTAGAACAGGCAAGATCTTTCTAGCTACCAAGTTTTCCCTATGAATAACACAATGCACGAGAATCATTTCTGGATTCTCATCTTTCATCAATTTTAAGCAGCCATTTTTCTTAGGAGCACCATCTGCAGTACAAGATGTTATGTATTTATTGGTATATTATTGACATCTATGTACTTTTTTAGCTTATTATATATATCGTTGGAGGTAGTGGTGCTTTCTAATCTTTTACAGAACAACATTTCTTCAGCAAAATGCCCTTTATCAATATATCTTACGTAAGTCATCAATACTGCCACACTGTCTATCAAAGTTGATTCATCCATTTGCACTGAGAATTTTCTTGTTTTCATCTTTTCAACATGTTGTTTTTCAATATCTTCACTCATTTCGTCTATTCCTTTGCTAACAGTATTGTTACTGAGTGGTATAGCTTTTATAGCTTTGTCATCTTTTTCAAGAACCGTTTTAATAGATGCTGATATTGACGGTTTTTTTAAATTCTCTCCTGTAGTATGATTTTTTCCAGATTTAGCGATGAATAAAAAAATTTGATAACAAGCCTCAAAAATACGATTATGAGTTGAAGTGTGAGCAGTAAATAGAGACTTTACTGTTGTCCTCTTTTCAAAATTTTTCTTTAAAGTTTGAAAGTCCACGTGGAGTCTGCTGCAGGGAGGTTAACTTGACGCCGCCAAAAACCCAGTTGATATTCTGGTCTCGTCAAAAGAATTTATAATATTTATTGGCTGCAATTATTTAAGAATTAGATTTTTTCTTTCAATTTTGGCACCGAAATCTAGCATTGCATTTAAATGGCCCAGAGCAAAAGGGTTAAACTTGTGTCCCCTCTTAACAATCAAATTGCCCCCTTAACAATCAAATTGCCCCCCAGTGGGGCGTGGGCCCCACGTTGGGAAACACTGTTTTAGACGGTTTTTACATGTAAAAACACGGTTTTTACCACTGTCATGTCAAAAACCCAACCCTTATATATATATATATATATATAAGGTGAACTGTAAGCTGAAACTTCTGACTTTTGACACATAACACATTGAAAAACATAATATAATAAACATGCAGCAACATTACAATAAAAAAAATAAGAATATGGCATAATGTAGATCTACAAATTTTTTAGAAAAAGTCGATATATTTTAGTTGATCCAAAAAAAAAAAATGGAAAATACACAAACATGTTAAGTGGTTTACCAAGTAAATTTATGAATTTAAATACATTTTGTAGCATAAAAGCAAAGTTATATCTCTTATATATACACATAAATATTTAGAAATTTTATAGAAAAATAGTATACTAATTTTAAATAAGTACTATACATCACAAAAAATAAACATTTTCAAATTATCAAATCATAAAAAGGAGAAAATTAAGAAATTATTACATTATCATAAATATAATATTGTGCTGCATATTAAATTTAACAGATATCTAACCTTTAAGAATGTATAAAATATTTATAGTAACTCAAGAAAATAGGCCAATGGCTTTTTAACATGAAATTGGGGACTAATATTATATAATGAACATCAAACCAAAAATTATTATAAATTATTATACCTTCATGAGGGAATCAAAATTTCTGAACATTAAAAGCTTAAATAAAGTAACAAGTATGTAATTGAACTTTTAAAAAGAAAATGTACTTTAAAAACCATTAGAACATTATTTCATGTGAATATATGTGGGTGGAATTAAATAAACAATTCATATAAACTGAAAAAAGATTTGTAGTGTTAAACAGAAGCACTGAATATTTATTAAGCAAGCAGATAAGTGGTGGAATAAAACAAATTCAGCAATGATCACTAATGTACAGTTTCTAAACTAAGAACTCCCCCAGCCATTCGTCTGGGACCATGGCAGTGACTATGGTAACCACTTCAAGTAGGGTAGTGGGGTCACTGTTTAGGGTAGGGTTCGTGAGAGAAAGGGAATAATTTTCTTCAGTCTATTGTGTTAGCCGTAGAGAGAAGAGAAGCTACCCTCCTTGAAATATACTATTCATAGCAGCATAGCATAGCATAGGACATAGCAGCAGACAGGCCCAGACTTAGTGACCAGTGGGATGGGGGGTCTTACCATAGACAAACTATATCTTGAGATCTTTTAACCTGTGTTTCATAAAAGCTGAATGTGGGTGAAATACCTAATTCATCCGGCAAATATTTTAAAGAAAATCGCAAAGATACATGAATATCAACTTTAAACACTAAAATGACATGGAATAAGTTAAATAAATCACACATATCAGATAACAGTCATGTAATGAGTTCACACTTAACAATTGTGTCTGCACTTTAACACCTGCGTTTCTTAAACGCAATTGTAAGGTGTATAGAGTCTTATATTGAATATAAAATGTTTAAGAAACTGTTAATAGTAAATAAAAAATTGAAATGACATTTTAAAATGTAAAGAAAAAAAAATACCATACAGATTTATAAGCAAATAATTTCAAATTAAATATTACCTTTTTGATCGTCCTGTAAAGGCATTTTCAACAGTGCTAAGAGGATATATTGTGCAAATATTTCTGAAAAAGAGAATATTTCTTTTCAAAAACATAATATATTTAAATACTTATCAATATTAAACAGAATACACATTAAGAGTTGGCCTTAAAATTTATTCATTTGGAAGAGAAGGTAGAGGATCAATTTTTCAAGATTTGCCTAAAAATTTATTCCTTTTATGAAGAGTAGAAAATAAAAAATGCATATAGTAGTCCTTAAAATTTATTCATATAAAAGGGATCAAAAAAATATAAAGACTGTCCCTTAAATATATTCACTTAGTAAAAAAACACATGCCTGAACACCTAAAAAACATGTTTACTTTTAGAAAATATATAACCCAATTAAAAAAAAAGAAAAATTAAGCAGTGCATAGTTATATTATATAAACAATAATTACCTTTAACTCAAAAATTTTAGAAAAATTATGAAAAATTTTCAAATCTAAACAATAAATGTGCATAACATTTCGTAATGAATTATCTAGATAGTAATTGTAAGCACTATTTGAAAAATGAGTTAAGTTTGAATAATGGCTATTAATGTATTGTTTATCATCCTATTTGGTCACAGATATTTGTTGGGCAGCAAAAATAGGCTGAAAAATTAGGTATGCTGCAGAAATAAATGTTAAAGACTTGCATGAGCCTGAAAGTGGGAATAATTTAATAAGAAGTATTAATATAGAAGTATATATATACTTTTATAGATGATATTTCAGCTTGGACTAGCATCAAATTTGATTGCATTCTTATCTCAGACCTAATAAAAGTTGGGCGTCTAACCTTAGATAAATAAATTATTTTATTAATGCTGTTAACCTAATATTTAAAGAACTAAACAACTAACATTCTAAACGCACTTCATTAATAAAGGAATTTGCTCTAACAATGAAACTGGTTAAAAAGCACCTTTTTTTAATGAGAATATTAAGAATTAAATAACACAAATTACAAAAAAAACTGCAAAATAGCTAAATAAACTGAAATTTATTCTAATTAATAAGATAGTAAGCAGAACTTACAATCAAGGCAACTATAAATTCATTCTATCGAGCAAAACATTATCTGATAAAACCACAAGACAGGAAATATCCATTGATATTTTTGTGCTGTGAAACATCCAGGAAAGACCACCTCTATGTAGCAACCCTCCTATTTACAACCACTTTTGGGAGGAACATAATTTTTTCCATTTTGTGATGAAGAAAATCTTTAGACCTTTTACAGGTCATTAAAACCTCTCCCAACGAATGATAAAACCTTTACCCAAAATGACGAAAAGATCAAATAAGGAAAAACATTAACAAAACAAATAAGTAGATTAAAATGTATTCAAAATAATTGGGTGAGGTTCTAATTTAGAGAACTCTTTTTGACGATTTCTGAAAGAAATCTACAACCTTGTGTTGCTGTCAAGAGTCCAATAAAGATGACATTATCAATGATTTATTTTTAGAGTTGAAAGTTAAATTAGAATGTAAAAGATATTTTAGAAAAAACTGAGCATCCTAAACAAACCTCTTCTCATTTTTTAAAGCTAATTAATTTTTGATATAAAATTAAATGTGAATTTAAAAAAATAAAACATAATATTTCATTTATTTATAATAGTTCTATCATTTATAATTGGAAGAAATATTTTTACTCATAATTATATCAGTAGGGATCAATTTCATTGACGTGAAGTTTTATTCACAGATCTGGTTCTCATAACACCAAGACAAATGGCATTTCTGCACCAAGGAAATGACAAGACACTGTTTAAATTTAAAGACAAAGAAATGGCATGACATTAACTAAAATTAGAATCATTTTCCAAAAACTATGTACTTTCAACAACACTTAAGAGGTCAATGGAGGTAACCCCTAAGAAAAATCAACTTCCATTAATGACCATTTTCTGAGGAACAGAGAGTGGTCACTCCCAAGAGGTTTCACTGTAGATATAAATGCATAAACATCTCTTCAGATACTTTCAACATGTTAGATTTAATATCATTTCTAGCCTACTATTTAAACAGGTGACAATAGATCATTGTATTAGTAGTCATAGAAAAACAATTAAAACAACAAGCATTAACCACATAACAGTAATGTAATGATAATATTTTTTTTTTCAATATAAAAATTCTATTTACTAGGCATATAATTAATACATAGCTAAATGCTATTTTACTAAGAAAAACTTAGCCATAAATATTGATTTAACTTGGTTAATGTTGTAATATCTACAATTTACATTATTGTAAACAAAGCACAGAAATAAAGACTTTTAATTTAAATTCAATAATAATAACTGAATATGAAGGACTTTTTTTAGCAAGAGTGATAAAATGTGCTGGGAAAATAACAATTTCTATTTTATTACTACTCATACAAAACTTTAATACTGAATAGTAATAATATAATACATAAATATCATTTGAAAAATTATAATTAGGGAAGTTTTCATGAAATCAGATAAAAAATTTTATTGGTTATCTAATACAAAACTTATTTATGAAAAATTTAAAATTTTTAAGTTTTAATTATAGCATTATAAACATTAGAGAGCATTCACTCGAAACAATTTTAAATTACATAAATTTTCAAATACATAATGCATAAATGTTAGTAAATCTCATGATCACATTAAATGTAATTTTGAATTCTTTCAATAACGCATGATTTGTAGAATCAGCCTTGAAAAATATAAAAGACAAGAATTGTTAGTTTCTTATAATCCATATAATTATATATAACTCATACATAAAATTTTTCTTATAAGCAAGCTTTACATCTTCCAGACGAAACTATTTAATCAAAAAAATAAGCAAATAAAACAGAAAAAAATTAATGAAGAACAATTAAAAACAGTAAATTAATATAAACACAAAAAGCTGAAGTAATTGTTGTTAGGTTTTGGCGCGCACTGGACATGACATCACTTATCGGATTAGTACGACAGCGCTACCTCTTCTACTTCGATTGATAGTTGCTTCAGGCTTTTTCTTACTGCACAAACTTTATGTATTTGCGTTTCGGAAATTTTAAATTTAGCTCGCGAAATTTCATGCATGTTCATATGTATATCATATTCATATGTATCACATTCATATGTATATTTATATATATATTTATATATATGTATATACAACAAAATAAATACCAAAAAACACGAAGAAAATTAAGAAAAACAATAAGTTTCATTTATTGCGCATAAGCTGCAAGTAACCAGAACTCATAAGATAAATTCAAAATGAAGATAAAACAAAGGAAAATTAGAGACATATGAAGAAAAAAAAGGGGGGGTTCCTTTTAATTTATTTTCTGTTTTTACGTGTTATTTGTACTTATTGTGTTCTATTTTATTAGTTGTAATTTTTGTAAAAAAAAATTTCAGTGTAAATTTTGGCTATATTGATACAATATGATACAGAAAGCACTCTTTTTTGCGGATATAATCGTATGGGCTGATGAAAAGATTATGTCTTTTATTTTCCGGACTTTTTAAAAAAATTTTATCCTGTTTTTTTTCCCAATTGTTTGTTACTTTCTTATTATTATTTTTCTTTTCCCCCCTTTTTTCATATGTCTGTAATTTTTCTTTGTTTTATCTTCATTTTGAACTTATATATATGTATATATACTAGGGGGCTAAGCCCCCTGTTCGCTGCCGCTCACCAACTCCGATGATTGGTTCGAAATAATTGACGTTTCTGGGCAAAAAACAATTTCTCCACTTAAAAGTTTATAATTGCAGTTAAGAGTTATTTAATTTAATATTAGAATAATATATTTTTTTAAGTATAATTGTTTTATAACAACGTTGTGTAATAATTTTTAAAAATACTTTTTGCTTTCTGCAATTGTCAAAAGTGTTTAGTATCATTTTGACTTACTTTTGTTTAGCAGCAATGAGCAACTTACAGCTTCTTTTGATTGTTACAAATATTTACACTGCTAAATTGTAATTAAAGTACATTAGGATGATCCTGATTTTCTCAAAGTCACGTGTCCCGCAGTGGACTGATCGTTAAGACACGGTTCCCAGCAGATCACCGAAGTCAAGCATCACTGGCTACGGTCAGTGTGCGGGTGGGTGACCACTTGGATCAGTCTGCGTAGGGACCGAGGGTGTGTGGAATTGGTCCTTGTTGAACTGTGCTACCGTAAAGTGCTCGACTTCGCGCGCAGGTCGTCGGGCTACCGAAGCGGGGGTGCCATCCACTCCGCAGAGGATCAAAATTGTGATGGCATGTCTTCGGATCATCCTCCGCGATGTTTCCCAGACCGTCGCCAATAGCCCATTGTGCAGCTCTAGGTCGACGTAAATTAACAACAACAACAACAATCACAGTCACGTGGAAAACTGTTTTAAGAACGATGTAAATGTGTAATTATTTTTTACATTTCGGACAATATGACAATATTCTCATAACGGCAACTGGATATTGGCATGATCTGCAGATGCGGAGCTTTATCTTCCTTGATACCACTGGTAGATAGCTATGTGAATGCTTTATAAATAGTATATATCTCTATATAAAACTATTGCGTATATCTCTATATAATACTATTGTTCACATAGTATATATCTCTATATATACTATGTGAATGCTTTATAAATAGTATATATCTCTATATAATATAAGAAGAGAGTGAGAGGACAACACATAGCCATTCACAGAAGACTTGCGGTTAGTAACGCACGAAACAGCCAATCAGAATTGAGATTGTTGCTGTTGTAGTTCATTTACGTCGCATTAGAGATGCACAATGGGCTATCGGCAACGTTCTGGGAAACATCCCTCAGGATGATCTGAAGACATGCCATTATAATTTTGATCCTCTGCAGAGGGAATGGCACCCCCGCTTTGGTAGCGCGACGACCTGCACGCGAAGTCGAGCACTCAAAATTGAGAATGCATGCGAGTGAAAAGGTAATAAATTTTAATAATGCTGCCTGCTGAAATGTTACAGCTAAACTTACCAACTGGCCGGAAAATCACGTGGTAGGATCCAGTTTTTCCTAATTCATTTCATATTGTTTAAGTTGTTATCAGCATAAAATTAATAAAAGTTATAAAGGTATTGTTTTTTTATAAGTATTTATGTACCTCTAATTTAAAGTTATTTTCTTTTACTGCTATTATTACGNAATGTCCGATATTTACAGGCTCCCGCTAGACGGCGTACTCGAGCGTTGCGATCGCGAATTGTTTTTTTATAAATATTTGTGTACCTCTAATTTAAAGTTATTTTCTTTTACTGCTATTATTACGCTTTGAATTCTAGAGTTTAAATGTTGTAGTTGTAGTTAATTAGACACTAGAGCTGGTATGATTACACTAGAGCTGTACTATGGACTATTGGCGACGGTCTGGGAAACATCCCTGAGGATGAGCCGAAGACATGCCATCACAATTTTGATCCTCTGCAGAGGGGATGGCACCCCCCGCTTCGGTAGCCCGACGACCTGCATGCGAAGTCGGACACTTTACGGTAGAACAGTTTAACAAGGACCAATACCGCACACCCTCGGTTTCTACGCAGACTAATCCAAATGATCACCCACCCGCACACTGACCGCAGTCAGTGATGCTTGACTTCGGTGATCTGCTGGAAACCGCGTCTTAACGATCAGTCCACTGCGGGACTCTGGAATTTGAAACTAAGAGAATTAATTATTTCGATTTTATTATTATTATTATAATGCAATTATGCGCTACATTTTAAGATAAAGTTGTTTAGAAAGGTGGTCTAATATTATTAACCATAATTATTTTTGTGCAAATAACATTAATATACTGTAATAAATTACAGTTAAATAGATCTGTTAAATGAATTATAATTTAATAATCAGCTTCATGCACGATGAGATGCAGGCAAAAATTGTATTTAATATATCCATCCGCCCCTTTGGTAATATTAAATTACGGTTGTGAACTCATTAAAATTGTTTGAACAATATAATGTTATAGCAATATAAATGTTATTTTAAAAAATGATTACTTAGAAAAATTACTTCTGCTCATCAATCGATCTAAATATTAATAATACTTATCGATAATTATATTTGGACGTGGGAAGTGGAGGCAGAAGCGTAAGCAAACAGAATTCCTTTCATCACATATATGTTACGTGTGAATAATTTTAACTTAAGGAAATGATTGAGTGATAATAGTAAGAATTATTTTTAAAAAATCATTACATTGTTTTCAAAATCACTTCTGATGTTTCGAAAATTATGGGGAAGGGGAGCATGAGCCCCGTATGCCCCTATGCGATGAAACGCATTTGCAACCTTAGACTTAAAATAGCTGGATAAGCTTCAAGCCACTTAAGGAGAGAGGATCCAGTTTAAAACTTATATAATTCTTATTTATTTTAAAAAAAATTTATCGTATTGCCAAACAATTTTTTTATCCTGAAATCTCTGAACAGACCTAAATAAAAGGGTTGAAATTTTCGAATGCTGTTTACGAAAAAAAGTATATCATAGAGAAGTGTGGGGTAGAAGTGTGTACCTAGTTTAAAATATGTTTGGAAGAAAAAAAATAGTTAATTAAAATAACTGCAAATGTTTTTATGTTCGCATTATATTTTCGTATTCTCGGAAATGCAATGATGCTTTAAGAAAACAAAAGATTAATATTTTTATTATAAAATAGAAAATTATATAAAGTGTTGTATCCCCCTGCCTCATGTATGGGATAGAACGGGGTGGCATAGTAAGGGCAAGTAATTATAGAAATATGTAAGACTAAACAGTGGCAGCAGTGAAAATGGTGTTTTGGATATTAAACCTCCTATATAACAGATATCGTCACCTAGAATTAAATACGCTGCTGATCGGCATGGAAAGGGTTTCTTAGGAATAGTTATTTCTATTTTTATAATAAACGTAATAAATAAAGGGAAAAACATTTAATGTTGCGTGAGATTTTTTTTAACAGATCTAAAATATTTTCGTATCACGTGACGCACACGAAACTATAGAATCACGCGATAGTACTGATTTCAAATCTACTATCAGTTTCTCTCTTCAAAATACAGTTTTTAGTGTTAAAAATTTAAAAACGTTATATATAATAACAGGAGTTATAAATGTTGCGACATATTCCTAGGGGAGTTAAAACACATCATCAGAATTAAAACTGCATGAGAACCCAGACCTGAAAACATCGTCATACGCCTCTATGGACGCTTCTTTTATATGAACTGTTACTTCGTGTGCTTCTGGATAGATCATAATAGAGGAAGCGCCCATAGCCGAGTACGACAACATTTCCGGGCATGGTTTCCGATATAATTTTAATCCTGGTGATGATCCTTAAAAGTTTGTCGCAACATTTACTCTGCTATATATAAAAATTTTGACAAAAGTTTCACAAAAATGTCATTAAAAAAATTGTAGCTTTAGGAGCAAATCTAATTTGAGATTTGAAATCCCAGCACCAGAATCAGGTAAGATCGAGTAGTTGCATAAATGCAACAAAAAATTTATTCCTCGGAGTGATTCAATTTGAAGATAAAAATTAAAATTTTAATAATAATAAAAAGAACCCAGCTATATTCAAAATGATGCTAAATTAACTTTTTAACTCATTCATAAATATTGTCTACAGCCTCCTCCCTTTCTTGTTAATTTATAAGTGTTATTTAATAATTTTAATTAAAAGTAGTTTATTGCTTCAAAGCTTTTTTTTATTGAAATTGTCATGCATTGAAAATTCATGAATACTAAATCTATCACTTTTATAAACCCACCCAGATATATTTTCTGAAACCATTGGAAATGCAGAGAAAATAAGTATTTTTCAAATTCATGTAGTTTCAAGTGTTAAAGCGTTCGTCCAAACAAAACCGTAAAACTGTAGCCCTTCAAGACCGGTTAGATATTATCAATTGTACAGTGCACAATATAAAAAAGTATCACCCTGAGTAACTCTTATTCTAATGAT